CACTAAAGACAAATTCAAATTTTGACCTGATGATGGCGCAAGATGAAAAGAGTGTCACCAAAGTTATTACAATTTAGCCTGGGGAGGATCCATCCAATAGATGCTGAGACATTTCACTCAAAACCACAAAAGTCAACCTCACAGTGGCGCTAGAGGATCACCAAAGTCAGTAGAACACATCCTCTGGGGACCCTGAAAGTGTGTTAACAGTATGTGACCTACCAGTCTGTGGTCTGTTGACAACATCCAGCAGTGTGGATGTCTTCCCGCTCTTCAGATCCAACTGTGGACAATTAAGAGTCGCTATTTACAGAAGGCAGAACACAGACACGCATGCACAAAGACACACACACATGCACACACAGAGTACCTGCTGAAGACTGAGGCATTGGTTATGAGGACCAAACACTTGACCCTGCAGGTAGATCAGCGTGGACCCGTCTGGACTCAGCCTGGGACAGCACACTGACAGGTTGTCCCCAGACAGACACTCTGGTTTGGAGGGAGAAGGATGTGAAGGGATCAGATGAGCAGAGTGTGAGATTGAGTCATTTACAAAGAGACAGAGACAGTGTGCTCACCACAGTTTCCATCCAGGTCGAGCTTGAATAACGCTGACCTGAAACACAATTTTAAGAGAAAGAGACACTGAAGGAAACTGCAAACTATAATTTACACAGTTTAGTTTGAGGCCTGCTGTAAAAATAAACTGTGTTTTTCCATGACTCAGTGAACTACGTTTTCTTTTTGGTGACTGCAAACAGAAACAATGTTTAATATTTTCTGCTTTTTCAGATGTGGCTGCTGCCATTTTCCTTTTTAGCTTCGACTGCATATTTCACACAAGAAAGTTGCCTCCCGTGCCTCCAACATACTATAATAACAACAACGGTAATTGACGGATATTATCTAAACTATGAAAATAAAGCAGTTATCCAACCTGCGGTTGGAGCAGAACCTCAGTCCGAGTCTGAACGGTTCGTGGTACCAACCGACAAAAAACACCGCCTGACTGCCTGGAGCCCACAGAGCCTGGAGGAGAACACACACACACACACACACACACACACACACACACACACACACACACACACACACAGACACAGTTAATTACAGAAAAAACCTTCAAATAGCATATGTTAGTTTGTCTTCATTGGAATTTACACTGGGAAAGTGAACTCACACTTTATCTTCATGCACTAACAGTTCAAAAAAATCTAAATCCTGCAGTGTCAGTTGAAGTAAATGACAGCCTCTCTGTCCTCACCTGTCCAGGTGAGATATCAGGCGGGACGCCCTGCAGCACGCTGACAGAGCCGCTCTGCAGATTCACCACACAAATCACCGGAATGCTCTTACTGGTCAGAGCCTCGCCCCAGTCTTCACAGTACATACTCCTGTCCTGTTTGCACACACAAGCAAAATAAGTGACATGTATACATTAACACTTTGCTGTGTAGTTAATGACAGGAATCTTCTGTTTTGTGCGTGTGTGTGTGTGTGTGTGTGTGTGTGTAATACCTTCCTGCATGCAGATTCCCCATCATGCGTTTCTATTGATGTGTTCTTGCTCTTCTCAGCTACATACAGAAGTTTGTTCTCACACTCGGACCATGACAGACAGCCAAACTGGGCTGGAAACACCAATAAGTGTTTATATAAACACATGATAGCAGGGCGTAATAGCCCACATTTCACAAAAATGTAAGTGTTCAGGTCAGATTTTCTGAGTGATGATACATGACATTTATTTTTCTTTGAGGGAAATAAGAAAAAAAATGCGTGTAAAAATGTGAAACATGTGTCTTACAGTCATCATACACTGTGCCATGTTTCTTGAGAGCGGTCAGGTTCAGGCATTTCCTGAGGCCGTGGCGGTCCCATATCTGAACAGCAACAACCACGAACAACATCCTTCTTTCAAATGCTCAAACACTGATACAAATGATATCCTTACACAGAATACTGTGGCCTGTTTTTCTCACCTCGAGGAGCTGGTGGCCACCTGTTTCCCTGACAATGGCCTTCAGGCCTTGAATGGGAGAGCGTCCACTCAGTAACCTGAAGAGCAGAAATAAAAACTGATTAGTTCAGTAAACTGAACGCCTGGCTCAAAAGCAACGTTTCACTGCACTTCCTGGTTCAAAGTTGAACAGTCTGTCGCACCTCTGACCACACTCAGCATAACTGATGGGTGCTGGTGGGTGTGGCCTGATGTCACACTTCTACATCATTGCAGCAAGGTGAGAGCGAAACAAAGCCATTTCGTACATGAGAGATATAACCGTATTACTTAGATTATAAACTCTTGGCAATCTAAAACACTATTCCGCCATCAGTGACGCTGCGTTGGTGTTTGGCAGGTTAGCGTCGTAGGTGGGCTGATTAATCAGTGACGAGTCAGACAAACACACTGAGCCATGGGACTTTTTTTTTGGCGCAGCTCAGCTACCAGAATTGCGGCGTTTCTGCCGTTGTTCTACGTCATTAAACCACAGTTATGCTGCGCGATCATGCGCAGTAAATGCTGGTGCCGACAGGAAGCAGCCCTGTAGTAGTATTTTATTGGTCCAAAACTGGCTTCACTGCTCTTCATTCAAACCAGCGGGGTGGCTTTGTCCAGTAATACATGAGCATTCTGTTGAGTATGAGGGTCATTCGGCAGAACAACAAATCAGCCTTCTCACAGTATTTTGTGTGTGTGTGTGTGTGTTTGCACGCACTCACTCTCCAGACACAGGTACACAGGGCCCTGGTGGGAGGACAGTCCTGATGCTCTTGTGGTCGTTGCAGTCCGTTATCAGAGTCCACTGCTGCGAGTAGCGAAGTCTGGAGCCACGGACCAGGTCGCTTTGACTCCACTCTGGATGTGGACACAGTGAGAAGTTTTCCAACTTGGGTTAAATAAGGAGACACTCAATTATTTAAATTATCCACACCTGCATGATACAATCATGGGCATGGACCTAAAGTCTAAATGAATGTGATTCATGTGGTGGCATAAACAAGAAAAAGGTTCTGATGCAAGCAAAGCTATTTTGCTAACCTGAATGTTTTTGTTTTATTGTCCATGTTGTTAATGACTGATAAAAATGAAATCCACATTTTCATGAAATAAATCATGTTATATTATATAATGTTTTGTATTATTTATGTTCTGTGTAGGCCATTTAAACAACTGATTTGCTTGAATCAGCAGAGACAGGAAGTCTTATGAAGAGAACATAAGTGTCCTTCCCTCAAACCACAATCCAGTGTACTGTACAATGTACACTGTCCAACAAAGAAACAGCCAGGTTAAATAGTCTTCTTCCAGACAAACAGATGGGTTTACTCTCTAAACCTTTTAAAACCTTTAATACAAGATCACTAGTATCAGTGCCAGAGTGTCTTTGACCAGCAGGCTGTCACGAAATCCAAAGAAATGCTGGAGGTGGAAGTCATTTGTTTTCATGGTGCTATCAGGTGGATTGTTTTCATGGTGGCTGCTTTTGAGGAGATCTTTCATTTTCTTCTGATTCAGGTTAATGTGATTATCAGAGGAAAACAAGATCTCTGGACAACTACTGGCTGATGATTGGGACAGTCATCTTTACCAGAGGACGATTTCCAACAACTCTCTGACCTCTCAGATTCTGACTAATATGTTGAGATTACACTGCAGTTAACTGAAGTATTTTCCTAACTACAATGTGTACTATCTGTAATGACAGCTGCAACTAATCTGAAAATAGAAACCTTCTTCAGATCTTGAATTACCACAGTTACTTACTGTTGAAAGTGATAAAGTGTAGGCAGCACCACTAATGCAAACCCTCTGCTTTGCAAATCGTTTGCAAAATCACCAGTAATAATGTGTGTGTGTGTGTGTGTGTGTGTGTGTGTGTGTGTAAGAGAGAGAGAGAGGCAGAGAGAGGCGGTAACAAGCAGCTCACCTGCGGCCACAGTGTAGATCCGGAGCTCTGAGAGCTGCTCCTCACTCACCTGAGCAGAAACAGGTGCAGGGAGCCCGCTGACCTCTCCATACACCCCGGTGATTTGTCCGGGGTCCATCTGCGCCTGCTGTCGCACACACACAGACCTGTCACACTGGCACGGTCAACACGAGCAGATCTGACAAGAGCAAAACTCGTGCATCAAGCACTGACGTTAAACCTGCTCGGAGGGTTAAAATAGTTCAGGCTCGGTTTACTGCAGTGCTGTTTATGAATGTATCCACGTTACTCTGTCAATGACTCTAACGCCTCTCCTGGACTTGATTCAACATTTCACAACGACTTTTACTGTACCAGCGCCTCCATGTTGAATTCATGAATGGACGATACCACTTTGGTTCAGGTTGGAGGGTTGTAGTAGAAGGAAGTGACCGCAGGGGGGCAGCAGAGGGTCACGAAAAATCACATTCCTGATCCTCGTGATTTCAGTTGTTACTGCTGAGGAAATTGTTAGTTAATAATAATAATAATAATAGTTGGTTCTTCTTTTTTTAGCTATTGATTTCATTAACGTTTTATGCAGACAGTATGAGGGAGTCTTAGTTTGTAAATATGAATTTAAATATGAAGTTTAAAATGTGTCTAACTGAAGTTTTTAAAAAAAACAAATGGTAGGCAGTGGTAGCTGCTGCGTTTTCAACGTGTTCAAGGGATTATTTACTATAAAAAATACATTCACATCAACAATGTGTTGACATTTTTATTTTTGCTGGCCTGCCTGCAGGACTCTCGAAATACTGAGCTTGTCCTTTCACCTACAACATTTTAAATGTTTATCATTCTTACATCTTTCAAACCACAGCTACTTTTAGTTTCAAAATCTTCCAGATAACTTAAAAGGAAAAACATTCTATACTAAATTGTGTCATATTTGTGCCTCAGGCTAACATTGCCCTCTCCTTCACCGGTAAAATCTTATTACTTTCTATCCTAAGTAACTATCTCACTTGTGTTTCCCCAAATCTAGTCTTTTCAGGACAGAAACTACACCACCTCCTTTCAGAATTTACTCAAATAATCTTTATTTCATTTGATCCACCTTCTGTCCACGTGCTGCAGAGCCACTGGACAAGACAGTTTGGGGAGGCCTGTGGCTGATCTTCATTCAGGGGGTCAAACCTGGTCAACAACAGAAGCTGTAAAAGCTGATGACAAGTTTTCACCAAGGTACAGACATTTCCAGGAAGCTGTTAAGTGTTTTTATTTTTTTAATATAATCGAAAGCACTCTTAGATACTGCAGCCACAATTTAGTGGGACATTGAATTTTAGATGCCAATCATTTGAAAGATCCCCACCAAACCTCTGATCAGCAGCTCTGGTTAGGGCCCTGTGTGTGCAGCCTTTACTGCTTGTCAGAGGGAAAATCATCCAAAATAATGATTCAAGTACATACCATAAATCCCTATGTACAGTCTATCTGCAATACATATACATGGATAGATTATATGACCCACCCACCTCCAATAAAAATATACATGAGAAAAAAAAAAAAAAACTAGAAATTCCTCTTCATTGTCAGTTCTTTGCATTTTTAAAATTTCTTAAAAATTACACAGTACTCTTAATAAATTAGAAAGTAAAATACAATAATCCACCAGGAAGGGTAAAAATGTATTTTTCCTCTCTACTAATTCAAAGATGACAATACTGACTCTTTGACTTAATATTTTAATTAGGCATCTTCTTGTTTATATTTTCAAGTGTTTCATGATGTTAAATAAAATTCTAACGAAGCACGCTCTCACACAAACACCACACGCATTATCTTTTAGGTTGCATTGTTTGTGAAGTCAGTTTCTGGTTTGGCAGCCGAAGAAGCCACTGTGGGTGTAACAACAGAGGGAACAACAAGGAACCACTAGGAACCATTAGCCCAGAGAAGAGTTTCTCCAGAATCTTTCCCTCTTTTTTTGCCGTTTGTTCCGGACATTGATGCTCGAACACTAAGCTTCAGAGATTGACAAGGACTGGTTATATCCAGGAGAAGCAGCTTTATGTGCAAACTGAATTCAGAAATTTGGATTAAAAAGACTTGACTGACCTGTCTAGACAAACGGCAGCAGTTTGAACAGAGTATCAACAATATCCGTTAGCACCAGAGTTTTTCAGTGAGTGTAACATGGAAGGCTTCCACAGATATCAAATATACCATAAAGCTATAAAAATGTTTGACTCTTACAGTGAGACTCAATATTTTACTTCCTCTGTATTTTATTAATAAAATGAATAAAAGATCTTTTGGATATCTAAAAATCCCATTTCATGTGTGCACAGAAAATGTATTCTTCTGTGTAATTAAATTGTTTTAATACTACATAAAAGAGGTTTAGGATGGCTTTACAGTTACAGTTTTTCCACTTTGTATGTTCCTCAGCAAGACTGCCTTTGCCTGTGGGAGCTACGAATAAATGTTTACTATGTGGAGAATTCAATTGCAGCTGAAGAGCACAAGTGAAAAATCCCTGTTAAGAGTTTGTGGAATCTGTGTGCCTGACAGCTGAAGCTTTGAAGGCATCATTTTGTGTCCATCTCAATACAGCCCAAGGAGTTCCTCGCTTGCTCATCCATTCACTTCATCCCCGTCCTTTTCTCACATGACGTCAGCCCGTTTGTCCCTGACTTTGTTCCTCTGTTTAGTCCTGGCTTTGAAGGCAGCGGAGTTGAAAAGGTGCTGTTGATGAAAAAAAGATAAAGAGATGATTGCGACAATATTTATACAGGTTGTAATCGCACAAGATGACTTGTGTATTTTGCGGCACTTTTAGCTGAACTTTCACCGCAGCAGTTCGACATCATGCAACATAAATACAGAAAAATGCAATCACACACTCCAAGGCCAGATTGTTCCAGTGTGCAGGTCAAGAGAGTCAAAGACAGAGGAGATGCTGTTACCTTCTCAAACCGAGAGATCTTGTTGCCTTTGACACTAGCGTCCAGGATGAGGGGAGGGCCGAGCCCAAAGATGTCTCTCAGTAGTGGGTTGAACTGCACAAAAAGAAAAAACACACACAAACTAAAATTAACTACCAATTTTGCAGTTTTGTGTTTATATTTGCCGATCTTGAACAGTGTGCATTCCACCATTCGCCTTTAACGTCTACTAAAATATGGATAATTTAACTGAATTAACTCAAATGTAAACTCGACCGGGGCTTGAATTAGCATTTCCTTTCTAATGTGTCATTATTGGTTACATTTTGCTAAAATGCTGGGTATCTGTGCATTATCACTTTGCTTATTTTTACACAATAAATCTAATAACAAGGCGGTGGGATATGTGCACGTGTGGGGGTGTGTATTGCATTTGTTTATTGACAGGCATTATATCCCACCTGAAACACAAACAAAAAAACAACTTCTCGTCTGTTCACACACACTGCGGCAAATGAAACCATATGCGGCACTACTGGGGCACAATTGGGTATATATATGAGGGTATTTGTCGTGCAATGGTATAAATGTGTCCACTGGTAGACATCTGGCACTACCGCGGGAGCTCTGTGTTTGCCCTATCACCACTATATAGTTTGGGCAGGCTATGTAAATCAGGGCTGAATTCTCCCATGATCTATTAGTGTATCATGTAGGGCTGCCCCCTAATAGTCAAGATGAGTAAGATAATTAGTCGCAGAAAAAAGGGCTGGGGATAAAGTATCAAGTATTCGTGCCCTTGTAAAATGTATAGTTAAGGCTCATTATTACAGTTTTGTAGTTCTCTGTACATTCTCTGCACAGTGTTAACCACGTTAATTGTAACTTTCTTTCTCCGCCCTAGAACTCAAACCATTTTCTGGCGCCCCAAAAATATATCTTTAAATAATTAAATTAAGATCATAAATGTGCACCAACTAGTCAACAAATGGCTTAAACTAACGTTGAGTCAACTGGGGAAATCTTTAGTCGGAGGCAAATGTGCATCATGATATAATATCACATATACCTACCTGCAAGGTCAACCATCCTGTGAGAACACAGCAAACTGTTTGTTTTGAAGTACACTAAAGGCTTCAGTGCGTTTCCTGACCTGTAGATGGTGTCTGACTCCGGACTCCATGATCTCTTTGAAGGCATCATAGATTCTTCTCCTCATCCAGCTGTCGATGTAAACGCCCTCCACTCCAAACCTGATCTTCTCCTCTGTGAAGTCCTCGTTCTGCAGTTGAAGAAAGGAAACATCTCAAAAATCAAATACATATGCAAAAACAAGAGTAAATTCTTCTGAGTGACGTTTACACTACTAGCTAAAGTCAGGGTAGATGTGCAGAGCTCAAAAATGAAAAGACCAAATGTTGTGAGTTACTAACATAGAAGTAAAATCATGAACAACAAATATCCTCGTTGCAGATACAAAACCTACCTCAATGTAATGTAGCACCTCTCTGAAGATGGAGCGTTGTTTCCTCCTGTCGTTTTTGGCTCGGTGCTTGTTGCCGTCTGTGGCTAAACTCTTCAGACATTCACACAGACTTTCACTGTCCTCCACCTCGAATTCCTGCACACACCAGTGATATAAACTGTAGCACGGAAATATGACACCAAAACCATCCTTAAACCATAGGTGTGGCTTCAATGATAGAAGAAGTGTACACAGTATTTGTTTCATGATCCCTTCCTGTTCATGTGTCCTTGAGCAAGACATTTCAATTCAAGTTGCTCCTGATGGACAGGCCAGCGCCTGCATAGCAGCTCTGCCACCATAGGTGTGAGTGAATGAAAGGCAGAAATTGTAAAGCTCTCTGTCTATTAGGACAGGAAAGAGTGTGTGCCTGCTCCCAAAGGATCTCAAGTGCGTTTGTAACGCCAGGAATCCACTGACTCCGGTTACGGCTGCGTCACGGTTTTGATGCGTCCATAGCTCGGCGTCAAAGTCCACAGCAAGCGTCTCAGAAGCGTTTCAGCAGCGGAGCGTGCAGCCACGTTACGGACTTGTTATTAATTTGTCCTTTTTGTGCTTCTACTACCTTCTTCACAGCTCTATGTGACCCGGTTTCGTTACATCACCTTCAGGCTGCGTTTCCCACAATGCGAATTTCAGAATCAGAGCATTTTGCCTGCCTGATTTTGCTGACATGTTTATATTTTGTTGATTTTGTAATCAGTGTTTGCTTTTTGTGCTTCTACTGTGATTAAGTAGGCAACATAGTTGAAGGATTTCTTTTTGTGTCTGTTTTAACAGTGTTTATTGTTCTTTTACAATCGGAAGTCTCCACAGTGTTTTATTTTGAAAATTGACTGGATTCTTTATGCCGTTCTGTGTCTGACTTCCTGCCTGGTTCGATCTGCTCTGTGATGCTTGAAGCGGCTTGCGTCAAAAATAGACCTGCTACCTATTCTCTGCGTATCGGAGAGCTTCTTCTGGGACGCGCTGCGTCTGGTGGACTCACAAGCATCAACTGTAATGACCACGATCAGCTCCGGCAACCGCGGTGCAGCCGTAACGCACCATAGCCGGCCGGAGTCAGTGGATTTTAGGAGTTAGTGTGTGTGTGTGTGTGTGTGTGTGTGTGTGTGTGTGTGTGTGTGTGTGTGTGTGTGTGTGTGTGTGTGTGTGTGTTTACCTCTTCGATATCTCGTCCCAGCTCCACCAGCAGGGCGATGGTCTCTCCCACTGTGATCCTGTAGTTGACGTCACTGCTCTGCAGACAAGCCTGGAGTTTGGGGAGGTGACTACAGGGAGGGCGACAAAACAAGATAATCACTATTGGTTACACTTCTAGTCACTGTTCAGAACTTTGACTTTGGCAACTATTTATGAAAATGTCACAGCCATAAACCTCAAAAGATCTAAACAGAGCAGAGATTTATTTGTGACATCTGTCAGTGTTCACATCCCAAGCTTGTACACAGGAGGTGATTAAAACATTCTAAAATGCTGAGCTGAAACTTGTGTCCTCGTGGAGAACATTTGCAACTCTGTCCAGCTTTAAATTTCCCTCCAGTGACATGACGTGTACACACTGAATGTTGAAAAGTTACATTAGCAGAAGCTCAGCATCCTTTTCAGGGTCTACTAGAAAAGGAATTAGAAATTCAATGAAAATACTGAAAAAAGTCACATTGTGACTATTACTATAAAGACTTTACTCTCTTGTCCCACTGAGGCAGATGAGTTTTGTTTACTTCACTCACAGGTCGAGCAGCACACTCAGTTTAGATGTAGGACAGAGGGTGACAAGCAGCGACCAGGCCTGCAGTGCAGCGCCATGAAGGCCTGGACTGCCGGGTTTGGGTGTGGGCAAAGTTCCCTCTCTGTTGGGGTAGGAAGACATGAACACACTCTCCAGAAGGGCCAATGACTTGATCAAGTCCTGGGAGGGCAGGGTGGTGATGTTGAGGCAAAAAAGAGAAAGAAAATGTAATGAGGGATAAGAAAGACAGACAGCTGATGACAGCACACTGCTAAAACAACTATTGTTAAGCTGCTGACATATGATTTAATATCCCAGACACCAACCCATAGTTTGCCTGATATATATTTTGTTGAGGTACCAACGGGTAAACTGAAACTACTAGCAGTCAAACTCATCCCTGAGGTGCCAATATTCCCCTGTAACCCCTTACAAGACTTTGAGACTTCTGAGTGTCATGATGGACTCAGCCATTGAGAAGAAGCTGTTCTCACCTCTCCTTCTTCAGCAGCAGAGACGTAACAGCACATCCCCAAGGCTCTGGCACACTGATGAAGACAGATAATTGAAATAACCAGACATTTACACAACGACACGCAATTTCATTTTTAAACAACCTAGTCAACCTTAGAAGTTCTTCTCTCCTGATCTGTTAATGTTGTCAGTTTAGAAAAACAGTGCAGTAAAAGTGATAAATAATCTGGGTTTGACAACAGCTGGGCACAGATGTGACCAAAAAAAGGCATACTGTCCTATTGACCTATATTTGTTCCTACAGACAGAATTCCCAACTCAGAGTCCAAAATGGCTGCTGTCAATGTCATACTATGGGACTACTCCAAACACTGTATAGTGTTGCATTTTAATGGATCCCATTTGTTTCCAAAATTGACACAATGGGGTGAAAATCAGAATCTCTTTATTCACCAAATGTACAATGTACACAGTAATTTGACTTGGTGGTACAGCCCAAAAAAAAAAATAAATAAAGTGGAAGGGTAAAATTAAGCCAAAGAGAAACATTCTAGTATAAACTAACTAACTAACAGTTGACACGCGTGTTAAGACACTTCAACATCAAAGCTACAACCTCAGCAGGCTGGAAAACTTTCCTTGAGTAAAATTTGCTTAAAACCACAACCAGATCACGAACTTTCTAAATCGAATTTCTGATCTACGACTTATTCAACTATTGTACAAGAATGGAAGTGAGAGTGAGGTCAGCTGGGTGGGAGAAATGCATTGCAGAATTTGCACTTAATGATCTCTTGGCTGAACCAGATGTTTTTCGATTGGTTGGTGTTGCTCTGCAACTTTCAGTGTCATGTTGCTGAGTTTTAAGCTGCAGTCCACAACATATTTTTGGTCCAGCATTTTCACATGCATACGTCAGAGCTGTTTCATTTTCTGCTCATCTTTTCTCCCAGATGTTGCCGTCAATGAAAGATAATTCCGTATGCAAAGTTTTGAACAATATCAGAGAAGGTTTATGTAATTACTCACACTCTGGCGGGCTGCTATGCTTGCGCTGTTGTCAATCAGAATGGCGGTGAGGATGGGGCGAAGCACCTTGAACCCCTCCTCTGCCTCATCTCCACCCCCCAGCTGAATGCAGAGCAGGGTGAAGACTGTGGCTGCCGCTGCCTGCTCCTCCCCACTGCCTGGAGGAAACAAAGTTTTTATTTGTTTATCAATAACTGCAGTTATTGTTGGCTGCATTTCTGTTCCACCTTGAGAAACAGAGGATTACATGTTTTCTGCTCTAGCACTTCAGGGAAGACAAAACTTTAATGATTTGTGTGTGAATTTATACAAAATCTACACATGTCTTACGTGTGTGCAGATTGCCAGTCATACTGTATGTACACTGTCATTCAAACATGCAAAACAACTTACACCACGATAAAGAGAGATGTATTTAACTAACATAGTGGAATATCTGTTTATACCTTTTTTAAGGCTCCTTTCCAGGCAGTCGCTGACAGTGAGGCGTCTCTCTGTCAGGAAGTCATACAGCACTCTAGAGGAGAAGGCCTGTCGCAACGACTCGAGTCCTGCTAGACGCGTTTTAGCGCTGAGAGAGGCACAACAGACACAAGGAGAGAGAAAAGGAGAATATGGTAAGTTGTTTTGGTAACATCACTTCCTGCAGCATCTACTACTATGTTGGGCTGCCACATTGGTGGTGTCCTTTGTATTTGTCTCCCTGTTCATTCCTGCCATTTTCTAGTTTTATAATTGCAAATAATACTACTACTACTAATAATAATAATAAACTCACCTCTTATCCATCAGGTTGTCTATACACTGCTTGAGTTTGTCTTCCGTTTCCTCCTGGGCAGTCTGTTCATCCACCTGCTCCCCTCCTGTGTTTGGCCAGTCAACACACAAGTGATTTTGTTAACTGTATGCAAGTTTAATGCTTTAGTTTCAGAGGGAAAAAGATCAAGTAATTCATGAGAGTTTCACCGTCACACCCATAAAAAAAGGTTGCTAATAAACAAAATAGACTATAAATTGTTGGCTACAGTCATTTCCTTTAGTGAAAGTGATTAGTGGTGCCTGCATGTGTATGTAGTATCTGTATTTATGTACAAACCTGTGCCCTCTTCCATCACAGAGGTGCTTTCACTCGCACTGCTGTAGTGGCTGAGCACATCAGACAACAGCTCATCATCGCTGGCACCTGACTCTCCCTTCATGCCATTTTTAACACCTAGAGAAAGAAAAAAAAGACAGATTGGGTTAAAAAAATAATAATAAATTTTAAAAAATGAGACGAGTTGGTGGTTCATATTTACAGTAATAATTCAACTGAAAGCTCACACTTGGGAGTCTCAGTTAACACAAACTCAGATTTTCGAGTAATGTCAAGGAAGCAAATGTGAATGAATCATACCTGAATCACTATACAAGTTAACAAACAAGTCTGAATGCTGTTCTCAGCCATATCCTGCTGCTGCTGGGTGAATTCACCTGATCTAGACAATGCTGAGCATCTCTATCATGACAGGGGAGGACCGACGAGCTCACTATCAGCAGTTATTAGGGCAGTGACAGAGTACAATATATATTTAAATGTTTCCCAACAAGAAGCCACAATGTTGTTGGGCAACAACAGTTATTTCCTCCTTTATTGGCTACAATGTTGCCTGGTTGTGTACTTCCTCAGCAGGCTGCAACACAAGGGAGTGGACAAAATAGCAGCACTAACACTAGAGCCCTGCAGTAATTACATTTGCAAAACTCACAATGGCCAGTTTTCAGTGAGGAGAGATTAAATTTGATGGTAATTTTGGGTGGTTTTATCGGATGTACTTGCAGTGCAACGTCAAGAAACAAAACAGCTGGTTAACTGTGAAAGAGAAATAACATGAAGCCTCCCACAATAAACCAAACTCTGGCTGGAAGCCATTTCCCAGCAGTGACTGATTGCAGTTTTACGGGAAGCTGACCGTATGCTTCCTCTGCTCAGCTGTCTTTCTTTGTCAGTAACTGTACGCCAGCAGAGTTCTTCTTGTACAAAGACACACACTAACAGACACAAACCAACGCACAAATTTGTCATTAATACAACTCAGCAGAGCTTCAAGCCAAGTACTGAACCACCTTCACTGTGTAGACACTGAAAGAGTCTATACAATTGAATCAGCTTTTACTTTTTCTATTAAGATATTTATTTTGGAGAGGAAAAGGGAATGAAAAAAGATTTTACTAAAATATACTCATGCATATTTGTTGAAAAAAGATTTTATCCTAATTGTTTTAAATGTTCTACCTCAGATATGTAAAGTGATCCGCTGTTTGGCATCTCGTGTTTTTGTCTTGTTCCCACCATAAAGTGTAGTTCAAAACCACATATTAACCATCTGGATTCTTCAACTTTCACCCAGGAGCAGAAATCAGCCTTTGAACTTGAAAGAAATAATAATATGACATTTAGCGTGATAATCATCTATTTCAAGTTATATGAAATTTATCGTGATAACATTTTAGGCCATCTCGCCCAGCCCCAAGGATGGCTGAAGTATATTTAAATACAATTTATTTCATTCACCATGTCATTTTTTATGTCTTAGTCATGTTTTATTGTCAGTCTCATGCACATAGGAGCTGATTATTAGTACTGGGCAGTAATTAGTGTTTTAATGTTTCAGCACAGCTCAGGGGGTAAGAGCAAGGCAGGCTAAGCTAAGCTAACCCACAGGTTCCTGCTGGCTCAGGACTTTCTACTGTTGGTGGGATTACTGGAGACCAGAGTGGCCATTCATTTATTCAGTGTACGATCCAGAAAGGTCAGACTGTGTGTGTGGGTTCCTTCGTGTTGAGATCAACCAGGACAATCAAGGTAACACAGAGGTCACAGGTATTGTTGCAGCAATGCAACATGGAAGCTATAGTTATGAGTTAAGTTCTCAATGAAACCATTTATTTACTTTTTCATATCAACTGGAGACTACCAGCAACAGTATCAAGTTCTGTTAGTTCTGTTCTGCTAGTTCTGTTTTAAGTACAAGCTTAATACTGTACACACGTACAGTAAATATGACAACTCTAGTAGAACATGTTCTGATATCATTCAACTGTTTCACCTGTATTCAGGTAACAGGAACATTCCAGAGAAGAGGATGAGTAACTGGACCAGGACTACATTTGAGCTCAAAATGTGTAAACTGAGTAAACTGGGCTAAAGGTCAACTATTTGACACAATTGTAGAGTCCTCGCCTGATCAGCTGTCCCGCCTTTTCTTTACACTGCAAACGTGAAGCACTCAGGGGCGAGAGACGATTCTGCTGTGATAACATGTTAGCCTTAAATTCAGGGACTCCAGTCTTTTAGAGGTTAAACACATTCAATCAACGGAGTGATGAACTCGTACAAAATCTAGTCTTACTGTGCACTCACACTAAACGCAAATCGAGGGTTGGGGGCGGAGCGAATACATAAGCAGCGTTCCGACCAAAGGAACTACACCCCGGAAATAGGAACCTTTGGAGGATCTCACTGCGTTTCCAGTGAAGGGACCAGGGTCTAAATTTAGTTCTAGGGTCTTTATTTTACCTCCCAAAAAGTCCCTGCTCGGGGGGGTTGTACTTTCCATAACATACCGGTACTTTGGGAGGGGTGGGGCTTGCCTTGAAGTGAATTTCTGAATGGGCAAGTAGTGGCTACTGGCTTTAAACGAGCATGTCGACTGTTTTTCTACAACTGCTCCCGTCTTTTCCACCTTTGTTTGCAAACCAATAGATCACAATCAACAGTCAGATAGCCACACAAGTCTCACCGAAGTCTGCCTGAGATCTTGCATCGACATTAAATGTAGTATTGCTTGCAAATATCATCCAGCGTGCAGCGGAGTTACACTAAATACTGGGTCCGAAGTTGTTTTTTTACGGTTTCACCAGTCAGGAAGTTTTTACACACAGCCGAAGTCGATCTCTTCTCCAAAACAAGCAGAACAGCTGATAATACAAGTAAAAAATACTATATACTATAATACTAGTAAAAAAGCTCGACGCAAATCCGAAAGGACTGAAAATTTCCAACTGGAGCAAGAAAGTTGCATGGAGGCTGTGTCGCGACAGCCTATGAGCGTTGAGATTGTCCAAACGTCACAGACGGCTCCAGATCATTGTTTGGAGAGGACCAGGGAAAGTGTAGGCTGACAGACAGATGCTGAGCTACAGGCAGCTGTGGAGGAGAAAGCCGGGGCAGCACTGCAGCTTGTGCATATAAACACCAGCAGTTGGACTGGATTATGCTCTCACTACACAGTCAGAGTTAACTGCTTAAATTGACTTTTTACTTGAATAAAACGTTGATTTAGGACAGATAAAGCCACGGCGAGGATTAAATCAGCGTTTGGTCTGAATGCAGTTACAAGACAAACCTGAATACAGCCCTGAAAATCCTGCTTCCTGTAATAGTCAGACTTCTTTGACAGAACAGCCTGCAGCTCTCTCGCTTACAAAGCTACTGTTCACAGCTGAGATAACACACCCTGCGAGCCTGTATCAGGCCCCATCCATACTAGTCAGTCATTTCCCAGTCATCGTCCTTGAACCCCCAGCCAATGTACAGGCTACTCCCCCGCTGCCATGCACGTACACGTGCACACACCTTCCCACGCAAGCCTGCCCACACACAGTTTGGTTGCAGTAAGTGCGAGCTCCCTGCCAGGAATCACGTGTCATCTCCACTTTGCTACTTATGCTTACATAGCAATCACTCCCACGGTTCCAGCAGTCAGTCAGTCAGTCCCTGAGAAAGACGCTCTGCTGACGGACAAATCAGAGCTCTGAGCCAAAAGGGTGGGAGCTTGTTTAAGTCCCCTGGCCATGACCTGAGCTTCAAATGAAATACTTAATTATCCTGTGTTCCCTCTACAAGCATTTTGCTGAGGAATTTCACCCCCACAGTCAGGGAACTTATGTAACAACAAAACTCTAATTATAATTAATTATTGTCATGACCAATTGTTGTTTTTTTCCATGCTTCCACCATTAACAATTATGGAGGAAATGCTGTATAATAAACCACTAACTTTGGAAGGCAGGATGTTTCTCTGGAGAAACAAACACTGAGCAGCAGACAAGCTCTTGCCTCACTACAACTTCACAAATTTAACATCAGATTCTGTCACATTTGCTGTAATGTAGAGATTTGTGGAAAGTTGTTAACATCAATAAAACATCACCTGTGCAAGTATTCAAACTAAATAAACACACACTACAGAGTAATGACATAACTACAAATTAAACCGACTCCTCAGTATATCACGCAGTGAGGTGAACACAGTGTCAAGAGCAATACATCGACATGACGTTACACACACATGCATAAAAGAGAGAGGAAGCGGTCACTCCATGAAGCAATGACAGTCTGTATCCAAACATTTCTGGTCCCAGCGCAGGTAAGAAAAAGAGGGTGGATGATCGGAGACCGGTGATGCAGCACTAACTAGAAGTTGGCAGACAGCTGTAAGTGAATAGGTCGGTCAGATGTGGATAAGCTTTCTTTATATTCCTGTGAGGTTCGTCTTTTAATGAGCCATCTATCTCAGCTTGAAGGCTGGGCTTTATCTCATTGTGTTCAACCATGACATGCATGAGTTTTTTTTGGTGCCAGTGCTGCAAAAAAGAGGCTGTGGTAAAGTCAGACAGTTAGTCAATCCAGTACGCAGCCTGGGCAGTAAATGTATTAGAGGGGGAAGAAATAAAACTATTCAGTGTAGCTGGACAAAACCAACAATATGAATTCAGCATGTGAGTGGCTGCTGAGTTTACTGCATGCACTGTACTGAGGTTCAAGAGCTTCTGGACAAGCCTTGGGTGGGACACCAAGCTGAGGTAAGGGGTCAAGGAGTTACCTTTCAGCGAGGCTTTGGCAGACAGCTGCAGCTGAAGAACCTCCTGACGAAGAGAGCCTGGAGATGATGCATGGGCGGAGGAGGGATGAATGGGTGGATGAAATAAAGGGTGTATAGATTGGAGGAAGAGGTGTATGAATGAATAGAAAGATCCAGGAATGACCGTGATGGGTAAGAAAACATCAGATGTGAGCTCCATTTTCCCTTTTCATTGAACTTTGCATTGCAAAATAACAAGCCTTAAGTTAAAGTTAAAAATGTGCAAATAAAAAGAAACATTAGACTTAATACTCCTATTCGTCCATTTCTTAATTAAAGAAATAAAATAAAGTCATATGTAATATATATAGACACACACATGTAACTGTAACATGTAATTTGCGTGCATTTATGCGCTGGCACGTGTGTGCTTCCCGGGCAACGTCACTCCATAAAACATGAGGGGCCTGAAACGCCTTTAGGCACATGTATGGTCCACACCACTGCTGTAACGTTACAATGATAACAACAAATAACTTTGGCTCCCAATCCGCAGCTGAACTGCGCGTAAATTAAGTACATTCATGTGCAAATGTACTGAGAGGTCATATTGCACTTGTTGCATGAGTTGCTCCCCTTCAACTCAGTTTCATCTACCTGTTTCGAGTGTCATGGCATTGCTGCTAAAAATAACATGCGGTGAATCTTAACCCTCCACGTGTAGCTTTAGCAAGTCAGGGTCCTGAAAGTTATCTTCAGAGATAACCATTAACTTTCTTGGACATGTTTTCCATGGTTCAAACTTACACTAACGTTACATAAACACGTTGAAGTAGGTGGCGTCAACGTAAAATGTCAAACACATAACGTTAGCTAGCCTTAGAAGCCACATGGCAGACTGGAAAACAATGTACACGTTACAGAAGCAACAAGGTAACGTTGGGCAAACTGCTGCCGCTAGTCTGGCTTTACGCTAACTTGGTGGCGATACAACTGCCTGTTACTACGTTAACATTTTCGTCGCAACTGTCATATTAAGTCATTAACCTTACAGCTGGCTTCTTGACAGATTCTTGACGGCGAGTTACTATCCGCTGTCGCCACTTACCCGGCTTACTGGAGCCACGTTTCCCCTTTTTACTCCGTGGCATTTTGAGCAGCGCTTTGATCCACAGTTCAAAACAAGTCTGGCTGAGGTAAGCTAGCTATCTTAGCCTTTTTTCAGTCCAACTGTCAATTGCCCTCCTCACAGATTTCACAGTTTGTGTGAAGGCAGCGGCAGCACAGGGCTGGATGATCTCTGAGGTTTGTGACAGCTGGGTAAAATGCTCCCACAATTCCACCTTCTTCCCCACTTTTGTTGACACTTTGGCTAACGGTGGCTAGCGTCCTAAACAGCCGCGCTCCGCAACTCCCCGCTTTCTTCAGTCTTGGAATAAAGAGTTGTCCGGTGACGGAAAGTCACTTTCCTCAACGGTTTTCACAATGTATTATCTGTGATTGTCCCCAGGTAATCTATATCTAATACCAGGTTGCGATAATAAGTATTTTCCTAAGTGTTTGGGACGGAGTTTTGAGCACGCTGCTGTCGCAAAGTCCACCATCTTCCTCAGTAATTCTCAACAGACCGGCAGCCGGGGTTGCCAGGTTAGCTCCGTTAGCATCCCCCGTTTCCGGTATGCCAAAAACAGCCCCAGAATGGAAGAAGCGCCTGGTATTAGATTTATGTGATTTCTATGATTAATCTATGCTTATTCATTTATAAGTGACAGTCGCATAAGTGTCTGTAAAAAAGTCAACAGTGGAAATACAGCCAGAACTCTGACTGCTGAAATGCTAATAATGGATTCTCAGAAACAACATTTTGACATTAGTTTTTGAAATATAAATCAGAAAACTGACATTACAGTCTGAATTTTGAGCATTAAAAAATGTATATTTTAAAACACGTTCAAACAGACAAAGCCATATGTGCCACAATTTTAATTTTTGGAAAAGTCAGAAGCCAGGCCCTTCTTTAGGAGCCAAAATTATGCCAGACTGACTGACAACAGTAATGTGAAGAGGAATGTCTTCTATAGAAAACATTTATGCAATCCTATTTTTATATCCGTGTCCATTTCAAGAGAAAAATAACAGCAGGTCATGGGAAAATGAAAAGTAAATTGTCTTTAATAAAGAGAAGATATTTTCTAAAATAAACAATGTTATTTAAAATGTTTACAATACAATTCTGTTAAAATGTAAAATCCACAGTGATGTACAAAAAACTAACAACCTATAAATCAGTAGTATTATTTCTATATTATGTTTGTTTTTATAAAATAAAACATTCAGAGCTCCACAGAAAGTCCAAAGACAATGTCCTAGTTTAATACAGAAATTATATTTCATTAGTTGCCAGACAGAACACGCATAATGACAATTTACATCTTTTCAAGTTAGGTTTTGGTTGTAGTGTACATTTCTCATTCAGGTCTATCATATTATTATATTATTAACAGTCTGAGAAACAATCTGGTCAGTTTTTATCCGATGTGGAGATCAGGTTATGGACTTTATTGTCAGAGCTAACCAGAACTCCCCCAAAATCATCCCAAACAAGATCTGAGGAAATCTGCTAATTAACACAAAAATGCCAATTCAACAAAGTGAACCGGCATTATTGTGTTAATTAGCAGATTTCAGAAGAATTGGAAGGATTATGAGCTGGCTGTGTTTGGCCTCCTTTGATTAAGCTTTTTACAACCAACAAGAATATGAATAACTGTGGTATTTGAAAGACCTTTTAAAAAAGACATGTAGTGATTGAACATCAAAAGAACCATTTGGAATCTTTTTGTTTTGGTCCAGCGGTGACAGAGTTACTGCTGCCAAGTTTCATTAGCGAAACCTATATTCTACAACAAAAAGTTAATTAAATACTTGTGTTTAATGGATCCGCACAGCCTCACTGTTTTTGCTCTTACTGAGGGCAGTAAGTTGATAAATAGTTTAACCTGCTGTCCACTTCCAAAATAGAAAAAGAACTGGTCTCTGGTCTTTGAACAATGTTAACAGAGTATCTAGGCCCATAACATCATACATACATACATTCTCAGACTCATTAGTATTGCTTGTAATTTGTTTCATGCACACCCATCCACAGGTGAAACCATGTTAGTGAACACTGAATTTTTTTAACAGCATACTGACTGTTGACTGAAATGCCCTACACAAAATCTTTGCATTGCACGTGAGGTCTTGTTGTCCTCAAACCACCTGTCACTTTATACAGTGGAACTGTACAATGTGTCTCTGCGTTAGTGTCTCAAATATAAACTCTTAAGTATTTAATATGCTTTATAATGAAAGTGACTGATCACATTACACCTGCACACACTCATTTTAGATTAGGAGGACTTATCGTCATTGGTGAAGGTAAACAAAATGGCGCAGCATTGGTAAATATGGAACAGAGTGGAGGTCCAGTCTGAGTGTATGTACCGTATGTTTGTAGGTATAGGTGGGTGTACTGTATGTTTGCGTGTGTCCCTCCTATCCAGAATAGTAGTTGGTCGGGACGAAGGGCATCTTGCTGACGGTGGCGAGCACTGCTTTTTTCCTGACCTCCACCTGGATGGCTGTTCCGTTCTTAGCGAATGCTGCATCCACGTAACCCATGGCAATGTTCTTTTTCAGGCAGGGAGAGGGGCAGCCGCTGGTCACCTCACCTAAACAAAAAAGCAAAGAATGTCTTTTTCTTGGAAATCTCTGTCTTGCACCCTTTCTGACTACATCTATAGAGACAAAAAAGATTATCTTTATTTCATTTTCTTCCACTGGTGTTCCACCACATTGAAATACAGAGGTACCACTGCTCTGTCCTGTCCATCACTCCCACCACGTTTGCTTTCTGACCTATGATCTTTCCATCAGGACCGAGTATGGGTGTGTGTTGTCTGACAGGGGGACCGGTGGACACCAGACCAACTCTCTTCCTGGCTGTCTTGGCTTTGATCTGAGGTACAATGATGTCAGCGCCGGGGAAATCCTTGGTCTGACGCCGACGCTTTCCTGCATGTGAGAAGACAAAGAAATGGAGTCAATATATAGAACAAACTGCACTTTATATAGGGGGCAAGACGCTGGTTTGTTTGTGTGAATTTTTTAAACCAGTCACGATCATCTTTGGCGCTAAGCTCAGGGGCTGGTTTTTGATTTGGACAATAATAACATAGAATCTTAGAGCTAAGTTAGCCTGTCTAATTTTCAGTCTTTATTTTTGTGAAACAGTCTAACTTGCATTAGACTAGTTTATGAGCAAAGTCTTACACTACAGACCAGTCTAAAATAGCTTTGTGAAACCAGCCCCAGAACGGAGGGACGATGCTGTTGCAAAATAGTGTCAGAAGACAGCAGAAGGAGAGAATATGAAATAGTTGGCCAATGGCAGGCTTATACCCACAGCCAACTTCCTGTGAGCCAAACTAGGTTTGATAAGAATGGTCTTTATCAGTAACACTTTGACCTTCTTCATCTCTACATCTGAAAGCAACTGAGAGTAAAGGTGCAAAGCATGCTGAAACTCATTTACTCATTTACAATCTAGAAATCACTCTCAGGATGCAACCCATACATCGGCGTCGGTCTCACCCTTAAATCTGCAATAACTGATTATTTTGTCCTCTTGGGGGCAGCAGAAACAAGTTGTGAACACAAAACAGGACATATCATTGTCTCTTAACTGTCTGTCTGCTGTTTGGTGCAGAGCAGGTAGTGCACAGTGGGGGTTTAAGAGCTTTCTCACTTGTGCCTGCTGCAGATAAAAACAATGCTATGAGAGCTGAGACTGACATAAAACAGTGAAGTTGCGGACCGGACAGCTAGATAATCGGCTGAACCTTGCTTAGCTGAAGCTCCTATAAACTGAGGTTAGGTTCATCACTATCACGCATCTCACATTACACACGTCATTTTATACATTGTTTTTATAAAAAATATTGATTATAGCCACTCTAAGCAAATGGGCTTGCCAGCACAGACACTGGACATGTTCATAATCTGCTAGATAGTGTGTAGAACTTGAACATTTATGATAAACGTGATGTCTCGTCTCTCGAATTCTTACAAAAATTAAGTTTAAAAACTTCAATTTGCAGTTTTACAGTAGGCTAGACTATTTCTTGGCTGGTTTCCGCTAGTTGCTTGGCAACTGGTAGCAGCCAAAAAATAGTCTGGTACATACACAGCCCCAGTAAAAATTGTAATTTTTTAATTTTGTCATACAACATGTTAATTAGAGAGCTCTAACAGTGCTGGTAGATTGATTTTGTTACCTTAAGACAGACCCATGCTAGCTATTCCCCCTTACTTCCAGTCTTTATGCTAAGCTAAGCTAATCGGCTACTAGCTCCAGCTACACATTTACCTTAAAGACATGAATGTGAAATCAATCTTGTCATATAGGGGCTGTCATTTGACATGTCAGTCCAGATATATACTGAAAATAAAAGAACTGACATGAATTAAAATCACCCACAGCCTTCTTCAACAAACATTTAATAAAAACACTAAAATCTTACCTATGGTCCAGACAAGGGTGGCCTCCACAGGCGTGGTGGTCTCATCTATGTCGTTGCCATAGAGACAAAGTCCCGCCTCCAGCCGCAGACTGTCCCTGGCACCCAGACCGGCCAGCTTCACTTCAGCGTTAGTAAGCAGCTTCTCTGTCAGCTCCACTACTCTGGACTGAGGGACAGAGATCTGGGACACAGAGACACAAACAGACTGTAGATCTGGGTCTCCATCCAAGGAGTTTTAATGGAAATGATAAACTGGAAACAGCATATTTTAACTCATCAATATTTAAATGAAAACACGATTTGTTGGGAGGAAAGTAATGTTCCAATAAAGACAGACTGGTATTAAACAGAGGATGGACACAGTTCATTACATAATGTATAGCCAGTCTATTTTTAGATAGGCTTCCTCAACATAGTTAGTAAACTTATTTCTTTGCTTCAGCATTTAAAGAGGTTCAACTAATCAGCATCTTATTTTTGTAGACCTCCATATGTTCATGGGATAAAAACAGAGTGAGTCAAGTGAGTCTAAGCACCGAGGGAAAGATGAGCTTCTGTGAAAGAAAAACTAATGAAGAGAAGCAAACTCCCACATTCCCACTGTTAGAGAGAGACTCACCAACATCCCTCCTGCTATCTACAGAGAGAGCTTGAAAAAACATATCGTGAACAGAATCTTTTGAGTGTTTAACAGTGTTAACAGGAGACATATCAGAGTAACAACAAAAGGAAAATTTTAACTTAACTTAACTGAACACAGCTCAGTGACTTCAGGTCTGTGTGTTTAAAGACATTACACACCAAATTTGGGGCCATGTAAATCACAAGTAAACTATCAGATACAAAGAAACGCTAAGCATACGGTTAAGTGATTCCGGTTGTTGCTGATGAGTGGTACAGACAGACTGAGTGTAGCTGTGCTGAGCAAACGGCCATATATGAAATACAAGCTCCGTGTAGCTCTGTGTGTTGTAATTCGAAGCCGTTAGGAAAAGAAAAAGCTGTTGAAAACAGAGTGTTCAGAACAGGAGGAAGGAGGTTTTGGGTCACAGGGATTTCTTTTAAATACTTTAACCTCATTATTTGAAGCTTTGGCCGTGTTTAACATGAACACCCAACATTGTAGATAAGTCATAAAATGTGGAAAAGCATAATAGGTCTCCTTTAATATATGTTGCTCACAGATTTAAAACCATGTTCAAATTGTTGTTTGCAAGTGTCCTCTTTTATGATTTTAATGGCCACCTGCCACCCAAACACAAATTATTATTTTCTGTGGCCATGGCATAACCACTGTTAACCACCAATGCTCTGAAAGACACGATAAATCAGATCTAGTCATCCGAAGGTTTTGTAAGGCCTCTGAATTTTTTTTACAAATGTGTGAAAGTAACAACTTAGATTAACTTTTATCTTTGCCTAAACTCACTGTCAGAAAAATGCCCAAAAGGTGGAGAAAGGAAGAGAGAGAGAGAGAGAGAGAGAGAGAGAGAGATGCTGACCTCCACCCCATCTTCTCCTGTGTATCCACAGCGGGTGACCCTGCAGCCAGGAACACCAAACACTGTTGCCAAGATGGAGGTCATGAAGGTCAGTTTACTGAGGTCCTCCTTCAGCCCCTCCTGGAGCACCTGAGACATGGATGGACCTGACAACACACAACACAACTGATAAATTATCTTCATAAACTCAGACATGGAGAGTCTGTCGCAGAGGAGATCAGATAGTCATTAACAAGGGATTCAGGGAGGAAAGAGAAACTGTAAATTACCGATGGAAGAAAGAGTGCAACAAGAACATGAAATACTGGCAAGGGCAAAAGAAAAACAAAGAAAAAGAAAACGAGATAATGAACATAAACTGGGAAAAGAGACAAATTCAATAGAAGAAAAATAGAGGGAGGAAATCAAGTGACACAGAGAGGAGGTTGGATGGATGAGGGAAGAAGGAATGAAAGAAGGCAGAAGACAAAGAATGATGGACTGACATACAGGAGGACAAGAAGGAAAAGGAAAGGAGATATGAGAGGAAAGGAAGGGAGAAAGAACAAAATAGGGTGATGGAGGAAAGAAATAAAAGTAAGAGAGAAGAGTATTTTACCCTGCAGAGCAATCAGCGCTTCATCAAGGAACTCCAGATCCACATCAAAACCTGCAGCTTTGAACTCTGCCAGTCTGGCCTACAGGCAACATACACACACACACGTCAGACACATCAGTCCAACAGACTTCCGGCCTGTCTGTCCAGGTACACTGTCCGTCTGCATTACCTTCATATGAGCCGAGTCCTTGTCAGCGCAGCCAGCATTGGAGACGACATAGAGGTAGCCCTGGTCTGTCTTTGTCACTATGAGGTCATCAATAATACCTCCTTTCTCATTGGTGAAGAGGGACAGCGTACCCTGGGGGGGGGGGGAGGGGGGGAGGAAAGATGGTGGTGATGGTGCAGTGGCTAAGACACTTGCCTTTGGTGTGAGAGACCCAGGTTCGAATCCACTGTGAGACACAATGTGTCCCTGAGCAATTGTAAGTCGCTTTAGATAAAAGCGTCAGCTAAATGAATAAATGAAAAGATGAGTAGGTGAAGATTTGAGAGTAAATGCAGGATATAATATGTATATAGCCATGTTACCTTGTGCTGTGGCTCTGTTCAGATGTGGTAATGCTCATTACTGTAGTTCACACCATGTTCATTTACAGGGTCAGAATTTTATTTAGGGGTTGTACCAGAACAGGTTTACATGGTTTAAAGGGCATCTCACTTCTATTAGATCTTTGTTGGAAGCTGCACGTGTGCAGTACCGAGTTAAGGACTACTAGCAAATCAGAAACAGAGTAGGGCGGGTCCTGACAAGCACGGTGGTATGACTTGGCAAGTTCGGCTTGGGACTGCAAACTCCCAGGAACGGGAGCATGCAGTCCATCATTCTGCAATTGGAACAGCAATGGCCTTGATGACGCCAGCTACCGTTAGGGTGCGGGACCTCACATCTCCGAAAACCTCGCAGCAAATTTTCAAATCAGTTCTATCTTGAAAAAATTGACCAAACATTTGGAGTTTAAACAACTATAGGGAGGACACATCCAGGCATTTGGACTTTTCTTGGCTAGATGCGGGCTTTCGAATTGGAACATAAGTTGAGCTGTGACTGATGACGTTTCACAAGTCCACAAGAACACAAGTACAGACAAGAACGCAGATTAAGAAACAGCTCATGACTTCAGTTCAGCCGTACATGCCCGAGTCTGACCCCAAAACACAGGCAGAACAACCTGAACCAGCTTCGCAACCTAGACTGGAGTACGATGTTACACAGTGGTAGGCCACCATTATGACGCGTGTTACATAGTGACGCAGATAGGTTATAGAAGCAAAGGCTGGACTACAAACGAGCTGTTTTCAGGCAGTTCAGGAGCAGTGTTTTCTGTGGGAGACAGTAACAGTTTTTGACCCCTTGTGACATGTTTTGTCTTGAAATGTGGACTTGGATGGAGGTGGCCCCTGGACACCACACACTGTTGTTGTTCAATGGGTCACATGACAACTAGTATGTGTAAGGGGTCGCTCACATTGATGGACCCACAGAGAATTATCATCCGACTCTGCAGTTCCCCCCGGCTTACAAGTGCATTTAGCACTTTGTCTTTCAGCTCCTTGTTTTGGTCTTCAGGCCTAAAACTTTTTTTTTTTACTCTCACCAATTCTATCAGCATCCTTTTAACGAAGCAGCAGGCATCTGTTTTCAGCAAAAACCCAAAAAGCAGAGCTAAAAGGAGAGTGAATACTGGACGTTCATCAAATGGACAGAAACACAATGAACGTGAATGTTGCTCACATCTTTTTAATGTATAAATACTTGCTAACAAGTTCACCATGTCAACTTAAAAGGTTAATATGTCAATGTAGTGTTTATAGCTTGCTTTCCACGAATTAAACAAAAACATGAAACAATCATCTCACCTGGTTGTCTTTGAGTTCTGCAATATCTGCAACTACTAGAGACTCCATGAACTTCACCCTGTCTTTGCCATGGACTTTGGTCTGAAAAAAGCCAAAAGGATGTATTTAAACATAGCTGGTGGGTTGTTTCATGGATTAAAACTAATCAAATTAACCCCTGTTAAGTCACAAAAGTGCTGTATTTTACTATGATGATGTGAATGTGATATGAGCGTTTTTTTTATGTGTATTTGTTTACCTGTGTTCAGATGTGTACTGTATGCGTTTGTTTTTCTGTTTCCACTCGTCTCACCTGCAGCATGTGGCTGACGTCAAAGATGGAGCAGTGCTCTCTGGTGTGCATGTGAGAGGCGATGTGACTGTCCTTGTACTGGACAGGCATACTCCAGCCTGCAAACTCCACCATCTTTCCTCCGTGCTCCCTGTGGAAGTCAAACAGCGGAGTCTTCTTCAAGGCAGCCTGGGGAGAACAAAACATGACTGCGGGTGCAAAAAATAGAAAGACAGGGAACATAAGAACCACGGCTGGAATACAGTAATATCTTTTTTAATATATTACTATAATATTAAATGGTTGTTGAAATAATGTATCTTAAAACAGTGTTACAATTGAGATTTTTCTAATGATTTGATTATTTTAGTATTAAACTGCTGTGTGTTATTGTTTAATGTAATAGTTCCAAGATGCACTTGTGCTGAGGAAAATCAGTATATTCAGATTTATTTTTCCCCCATTGACTAAACTGGATATTCAATAGCAGTATTTTGTTTTTTGATTATTAAATACCACAGCAATGAGGGTCATGATAACATGATCTGGTTAAACAGACAGCTCTGTTTATAGTCTGTTTTTTTTAGATTGACAGGTCAGTCCTTTTCTACTCATTTGTTCTGCGCTCCTGTGTTCTGCTCTTTCTTCTGTAACTCTTCTGACCTTTGAACCAGCCAGGGAAGGGGGCTTATCAGCAGCAGAAATGCATTATGGGACAGAGTGTCTGCACTTGCTTTTTGCAAAACCAATCAAGTCCAAAGTCTACTATTAATTCAGATGAACAGAGGAGTGGTGGTTGTTCATTGATACATGGGCATACATGTAATGAACTACTACAGATTAGGGCACTCCACATGGTTAGGACTCTTAGACTTTTTACCCCCTTTGCTTTAACACTGAAAGATAAACCTCAGTTGATACATTATAAAGGAGTAAAATGTTAGAGATGCTGCTGCTGCTGTCTGTTATATTATTTTATTCATAAAATCCTTTGCAGAAAAGCGCAGGACAGAAAATCTCAGTTGCTGAATGACTGAATGAAGGAATCTGGACCAGGTCACACTTCAAAGCCTCACAGTGAGCAGACACTGAGAGAGTGCTGACAGAACTGTAGAGTCAGTCACTCGTGGTTTTAATAAAATCATCTTGTGCAATGTGCAGCTCAGTGGAGCGAGGACGGCAGTCTGCTGGGACAGATGCACATTATGTCTGCACGAACTGCCTGCTGCTGTGTCTCACTCTGATGTTACTAGTGTAAAATGCAAATGCAACAAAGAGAAGGCGATTTAGTCTGAGGTTTTTTTGGAGTGAAGTCCAAATGTGACGGCCAAAACAGCTCTCAACATCGACTCCAAAAACACCTAACGTTACTGCATCCTAAAAACATCCAAAACTTCAAATCCGATGCAGGAATTAGTCACATTGATGTTTTACAATAACAAAGTACAAATAAGTCGCATTCTGTAATCACTATAGCCTATTATTGTAATATTTAAACTGGTAAAGTGAGAGATCAACACTTCAAGGGTGATGTTGTCGAGAAATTAAACACTTTGTACTAAAGAACATTAGTTTACTTCATTATCTTCCCGCCAGAAAACTGATTATAGTGCTTTCACCAAAGTAAAACCAAAGCATTTTGGATCATTTGTGGCGCCACAGGTTCAGCGTACCTCTGCACATGAAGCCTGCCTCTGCTGCTGCCTCCTCCCCGCACATCCAGCTCCAGCCAGCGGCAGCAAACCGTCCCTGGAAGCCCGCAGCCCGAGCCCCGAACCCCCGACCCCGACCAGCAATCGAGTCCACATCGTGCCACCTCAGTCACACACATACACATACACACACACACACACACTCCTGATGGCAAACACTTGCGCTGTGTTACTAAACTCTTCAGACTGCACACTTGGGAAGTTCTGCTTTCCTGGCAAAAACACATGAGGCAGAGGTGATTGGAGGAAGGAGCAAACACTTGTGGGAAATGTAGTTGATGAGTGCTCCATTGTGTGTGTTCATATTGATTAGGCTACACATTTACTATGAGCCTTAGAATAAGTAAGATTGGTTCCCATAATCATGGCACCGTTAATAAGTTTTTTATTGAAATAATTATTTTCAAACATTTTGCTTTTGTGTTGGTTTGGTGCTGTTAGGGTAATACAGAGGGACACCTCATGTGGCTTATGAGGGTCAGGGTCAAACCTGGTCAACTGCAGCCAAAAATTGACCAGGTTTGCATATTTAGTCCAAACCTAGTCTGGACCATGTAGATTCAGAACCAAATAATGGGACCATAATAGGACACAGTATTGATGCACAACACAGCATCACTGTATAATGTATAACTCACTAGAAGAAGATGCGTTCATTGGCTGCAATTAATTTTTCAATGAATACATATCAGCTATCCTCATTACCTACAACAGTGTTTGGTACCATATTCCTAAACATATAATTTGAGGCATTTAAGTCATTCTACACAATACTTCTTCTCCACTCCCACAGCCAGAAAAGTGAAAGGAAAGAGAGCATTTATGTTTGAATCTCCTTCAGTCTGGAATAACTCACCTCCAAACAATCTTCAACATCATTTCACATGGTAAAAATAGTTTGCCTTCTTCTTTTGAGTTATATTGTTCATGTTTCAGATGCTTTCACAGCCTTTCCTTAATGCAATGTCTTTGTCTCTTGTTTTTTTGTATTGTTTTGTATGTTGTTTATCCTATTTAATGAACTTGTATCATCGGCATCTGGAAGTCCAAAGAAAAACAGCAAAAAACAAAGGTCATTTTAACAGCAAGGCAAGTCCATCCTAATGTACGGTGAAAGCTGGTGGAACATCAAAGCTGATATGAAAAGGACTGAGGCATTCCCCAGACTATGTGGCAGCTAGCCTAACAAGATCACAACCTTGAAAATAAACAGAAAAACCAATATCAAGAACATCATCACGGAAATATGGCAGCGGTGGGAAGCAGATGGCTGGGCCATGGAAGCAGATCGCATCCCAAAGGCTGCACCAAAGCGCAGACCAAAAATGTCCTGGCTCAGAACTGGGACTGATGAGCTAGCCAGGAAGGGTGGGGGTGGAGCTTATCATGTTGCCAAGGATAGGGAACGATGGAGGGAGCTCACTGGGGCCTTGTTTCCCACAGGGGATGAAGAGGATTAAATAAGTAATAGGGCCAATAAGTCTCCATGCCACAAGTGTCCTGTATTTTTTTTATAGATTTCTTAATGATGTGCGATTGTTCTTACAGGATGTATCAATGAGAGATGCAGAGAACAGACTATCTCAGTTATACCCCATTCTACAGTTTGTTCCTTTTTATGGCCATGGCTCTTTATGGGGCTCAACAGGACACAATACCTGTGGACTAACAAATTACTTTTTCATCTAATTTCCTGATTTACCATTGTCTGTATTTTGCACTTTTACACTTCATTCAAAAGTGAAAAGTGAAAGGAAACATCATGGTTTTTAAAGGGCATCGCTGAGCCAATAAGATCCTCACACACTATATGGACTAGTTAATTTATTGATTTTGGAAAACAGCACATTTTGGTGGTCTCTTCATGCTGAACTGTGCTGAGACGGCCTTAAAGCCCTTTTATGTCCTTTATCAGGAATCTTTCATGTTTAATATTAAAGCAGGTAGAATCAAACCACAAGTCTCCATCACACATTTACATTTTTGAGGTTTGATCTTAATAAATTGGAAACAATATGTCTAAGTGCTGGATTTTGCCAGTTGCTCTATTCTCATTTACATCCAGAGATAAATCAATCTAATCTCATCTGTCCATTGTTCAGAAAACAGCTTTGATTTTTCAGTCTTTGGTCAGAGAAAGTTGCCCACCCGACTGTGTGCCCACTGGCATTTGTCCATGTGAGTGGTTATGAGTGTATCCCTGTATACCCCATCATGCCCTCTACCCAAGATCAGTCATCCTTTGGCCTGAGAAACTAATAATATCCCCATGTCTCTGCTGCTATTTTAGGCTTCGATGGCCTGCAGGGTTAGGCGTGTGTGTGAGCATGTTTGGAGGGCTGAGAAGGCTTACTCTCTCTCTCTCTCTCTCCATGGCTCTACCTCTCTCACAGGGCAGCTAGGGTGGGCTAAATTGGAACATGGATATGCACAAACATACTTAGTAGCAGGGGGTGGCACTGGGGCGTCCTGTACTTGCTTAGTGACATACACATGCTCACGAGGAGTAGGACTCTGTGGCAAAACCTGGAGGTTCCCTTTTGTTTTCATACATCAAGGAAGTCGTTGTTGGGAATAATTTGAGTTTGGCTGGTTTACTGTGTGGCTGCTGGATAACCTCTGTGGATATTTTATGTAGCTCATTGCTACTCGCACACATTTTGGCAGTCGGTTGTCTGAGTATGACGAGATAAGGAGAGCGACAGATAAACAAGGACAAACAAGCAGACACATAAAATCCAACACAGCTCTTGTTCATGGTGACAGAAGGTAAGTGGGAAGAGAGGAGTATTTTTTAGATGTATTTATCCAATAAAATAGATCTGGTCTGGCTACAATGTCTTGAACACAGTCAGGTAGTCTGTGAATCAGGTTGTCAGGCAGTAATTAGGTAATCATCCATTCATTCATTCAGTTAGTCATTAGACAGGAGTCTGTCCTGTCCTTTGGCCCTCAATTAAAATTCCAGCAACCATGTACCTTTATGTCAACCATCTCTTTAAATAGCTCGGACAAATCAGCTGTTCATGTGATATTCACATGTTTGTTTTGTCTTCAAATAGAACTAAAAAAAATAAAAGATGTTCTGTTTTCTTTCCCCCCCTCCCCCCTGATACATCCTTACATGCTGACATACTGCTCTATTTATATTTTAACTAAAGCATATCTTCTAATTCCTTCCCTCCTTTCTCTTCCACTTTCAGAGACAACCAACAGTCTCTATTAATTACCCACTTGATATTTGAGATTTAGATTAAATGTAACTAGATTCCATTAGAACTAACAATTCCCTTTACTAATGTGTAGAATTGCTGATAAGTAATCATTGCTGGAAATATTTTGTAGATCCATTCACAGAGCCAGAGTTGTCATCCAGACCAACCAAGTTAGTAAACATGGCCATGCTATATGCTGTTTACTGTCACAAGCTTTAAAGTCTTTTTAAACTATTGACTCCCATGGCCTTTGGAAGCTAATACTATGGAAAGCTGCATGGCACGGCTATAGGAAGATTATATACAGTAGCTTTCAGATATATTCACTGCAAAGAATTCGTTGACTATTGGAGTGCCATCTTGAATCCCACAGCAGTCTAATCATCTGTTCTTCCATTGAGAATAGGCAAGATGTCGAGGCCTCCTTCCTCCCACACCCCTCCTCAGTTCATCAGGGTCAGCGACAGAGATCTCACCGAGATTGAGCTCCATTCTGTGGACTCCATCAATGACCTACACCGAACACACCACGAACACAGCCACAAAGGTATACACACTCTGAACACAGACACAAAGGTACACACACACACACACACACACACTCTCTGAACACAGCCACACAGGTATATATACACACACACACACACTCTGAACACAGAGACAAAGGTACACACACACACTCTGAACACAGCCACAAAGGTATACACACTCTGAACACAGCCACAAAGGTATACACACACACACTCTGAACACAGCCACAAATGTACACACACACACTCTGAACACAGCCACAAATGTACACACACACACACTCTGAACACAGCCACAAAGGTACACACACACACCCTGAACACAGCCACAAAGGTACACACACACACACTCTGAACACAGCCACAAAGGTATATACACACACTCTGAACACAGTCACAAAGGTACATACACACACTCTGAACACAACCACAAAGGTACACACACTCTGAACACAGACACAAAGATATATACACACACACACTCTGAACACAGTCACAAAGGTATACACACACACACACACCCCGAACACAGCCACAAAGGTACACACACCCTGAACACAGACACAAAGGCATACACACACACTCTGAACACATCTGCAAAGGTATACACACACTCTCCGAACACAGTCACAAAGGTATACACACATACACACTCTGAACACAGCCAAAAAAATATACACACACTCTTCAAACACAGCCCTCAAATAACGCAGCCTAAAAGGTATACACACACACTCCAAGCACAGTCACAGAGGTACTCACACACCCAAGCACAAAAGTACACACACAAACACATTGACACTGATTGAGTTTGCTGTGTATGATTTCAGGGATGAGGCCCCCACGTCCAGCTTACACACCCTCCCTGAATGGGAATCTCTACACTTGTGACTTGACAGCTGTCAATCAAAGAGGCCATCCAGTTAGCAGCAAATGGCAGAGCCGTCTACAGGAAATGTTGACACCCAGTTCATCACGTGCCTATGCCATGGGCTGTGCCATTATCACTTTGCTTCTGCTAACAGTGTTGCTCATCTTCTACTTTTTGGGTGAGATATGATATTCATTATTTGTTTCCCCTGATTTATTTTGTGTATTTCGGGATTACACTTCACCCAGTTTGTTTCCCCACATTTCTTTGTATTTGTCATGTTATTTGCGATATTCCACTAAAATTTCTACTTCTAGCTATGCAATGTAATCATTACAAATGTTTAAAACATCTCTGTGAATGTAACAGAATGTTGCTTTGTGTAACCCAAGATGAACAAACTTGACAGTTTGTCCCTGTTTCTATTTCTCCTCCAGTCCAGCAGGGCGGCGCAGTCCGTATGCTGACTGAGGCAGTGAGGCAGAAAGATGCAGCAGTCATAGAGCTGTCACTGCTCATTCAAGAACTGCAGGCACTGAGACACAACCTGACAGCCATGAGGGGAGGGACATGAGGAACATATGGACAGAAAACTACTCAGATGCAGATACACTTTTTATAATGAATGTGAAATGCTTTAAAATGCAGTAAAACTGTGTTTTACAGTGGGGTTTTCCTTGAAGAGATACATTTGTCAAAATGTTCTCTAAATGTTGTCTGTGTTTCAAGATTAAACATAACTGAACCATAAGATTAAGAAATGGGGGGTTTCGGAATACCTTTCCCCTCTCTTCTGCTTTGGTCACTATATGAAAAAAACTTTTGAACTATACTTTTTGTTCTGTGATGGCAGTGTTGGGGAGTAACTAGTTACATGTAATTGAGTTACATAATTTAATTAAAAAATAAATGTAACTATAATCCATTACAGTTACTTGGAAAAATGTGTAATTAAATTAAAGTTACTTACATTGGGGTTTACATCTGAATATCTTCTGTAAAAATCTAGGCTATATGTATAATAATCATTTTGTTACTTTGCATGTTTTTCATGTGTATAATGTCTTTGCCATTTCCAGCCACAGCTGTTTAGTAAAGTTTGATGATATTCTGATGCTTTTGATTGGTTCTAGTGTTTAAATTTGCAGTGCCACTCGTCTACCAGTTAAATTGGCTTTTTCAGCTGATCTTTCTCGAAATTTAGAAAAGTAATCAAAAAGTAATTAAATTTAATAAGTTACATTACTTTGATAAAGTAATTAATATAGTTACACCACTATTACATTTTAAATAGGGTAACTTTGTACCGATTACATTTCCAAAGTAACGTTCCCAACACTGAGGGATGGCACAACGGATTGAATGAATGGAGGCAGAATATTGCATTATATTACATTGCATGATACATATTTAATGTCTTTAACAAACTGATTATTCATCATTATTGCTCAAAATAATAAGTTACTTGAAACATAACTCTCTTTCTATCATAAATTTATTTCTTGCTGTATCATTGCTCACTCAATATCATGGTATTTTTCATGTTATTGGATTTCTCCTGAATCACGTACCCGACCTTTAAATGTGAAAACAAAGATGATACTGTTTTCCAAGCATGTATATGTTAGTATTCTTGATTTGTTCTTTTTTCATAATAAAAGGTTATAGTGAGCAAAGGTTGATGACTTCAACCACCAAATTTAGCATAAGATACTGAATATATAAATATCCGTAGCTTAACAGTCCATAAACTGTGTGTAATTATGTCATAATCTGTATTTATCTTTTTCTTTGTTTGCTGATTTTCACCAAAGAATCCAACATTGGGTTAAATCATGACTTTTAAAAGGGCCAGATAGGTCAAGCTGATTTCCACACAGATTTTATTTTATGTTTCCTTTAGCACAAAGATGCTGTTCACCCCAGTTAAAACTAGATCCTCTTGCGATGGGCATGCTTTAGAAAATGCTTCCAGGGGGAATTCACATATTTATTAAATTTGATTTGTTTAGTTACATTACATTACATTACATTAGGAGCTTTAATGACGTGGACTCACATTCCTGAAAATGTCCATGGTCTTCCATGAACGCTGGGTAACTTGTTCTTTTGTCTGTTTTCGTCCTTCTTCTCTTGACACTCCTGCCCAGTCCAGCCTGGGTAGCACTGACACATGAAGTGGTTGTGAAGAGGTTTGCTGATTTCATTAGCTGAGGAGACCATGTGACTAGAGCCAGGGTTGCGCCTGGTGCAGCGGCCATTGCCTTGGCAAAGTTGGAGGCTGCAGCGCTGGGTGTCAGACCTCAGCGACTGGACGAAGGGACCCAACACAGTGTGTATGTAGTTTCTGAGAAGGATGCACTGATGCTAGAGGGTGGGAGGAAGGGAGAGGGTTACACACACACACACACACACACACACACACAACCACAACTTTCTCACAAACATTACATACCCTAGATTTGGCAAATTTCATCTCTCCCCACAGCACCACTCCAGCAGCTCCCAGTGCCGCACTCTCTCCCAGTGTGTGCATCAGGTCCGTCTGGACACACAATAGCAATATTTTAAATTACATATGTGTCTCTAATAAATTAGTATGTGTTTGCATGAGTGTGTATGTTTTTATGAGCTGCAACAAACCCCACCTTATTAAGAAAGGTGAGAGTGTGTGTGAATGCCAGCCTGGCGTAGGGAATGACTGGTGTGGCATGACTGGTATTGTTGGCATGGCGCCAAACTGACGCCACCCTCAAAGCTTCCAGCAGTCTGTGTCTGAGTGAAGAAGACAGAAATGTCCATCAGTAACTCCTTCAACACCTTTAAAGGTACCATATGTGAGAATATGAAGCAATTTACATGTATTAATAGCTTTTTATTGCCAATGTGTGCACAGGTAAATTTGACATTCCACGACTTTCTCTGTTGCCTACAACTGCCTGTGCATTGATTTCTATGTAAAGGACTGTTTTTACAGGAGAATCCAGAGGATGTGACATTTCTGCTCCCTTAGAGCACCAACAATGTGCAACGCTCGCTAATGTTAGCTTAGACATGGAACTTGCTAACGTCAACAACACAGCTGTATTTTTTCCCCCCATCAGACTTTTGACAGCTCTGCCTCTGATTGGCTACTACTTGTTGCTTCTGTTGGTTAGGTTGGTTAAGGGTAGGGGTTAGAGTTAGCCATTCAGAGCAGAGTAGGGGGCATGACTTGATGCAAAGCTGGTGTCGGTCAAATGAGAGCTGTCGAAAATCTATGTTCCCAGCGTCCTATGTTCCCCAGCTCAAAATCCTCTTAATATGACACATTAGGGAGACCTTTCAAATGTTTTTAGCAATTGTTTTTCTCTAGGTCAAATGTTTACTGTATGTTTTCCTTGGCTAATATGTTGACCAATTTGCAGGCAAGACTTTATACACCGATCACCACAGTGGCTGAACGCACATTTACTATTCAAAAAGATTTTAACGTCCATCTCTTTTTTCAATTTGATCATGGGAAGATAACCCTTACCTATTTCTTACAATGTTAGTTTACATTAAGAGACACACAGTGTGCCCTGGTAGATTGGTTGACTTGCTGTTTGCAGGTTGCTTTGTCGCCTGGCATCCTCTGATTCAAAATGGTTTGGCAGGCTGTTTTATGACTGAAGCGGTTTACTGTGAGCGAACACTTCTTGATGTTTCTCAGTTATCTTTACCTGACCATCCGAGCTGCATCCATGGATCCTGCCAGCCTTTGTGGCAGGTAGATGCTAGGATAGAGAGTGGTGGATTGAAACCAGAGCCAGGACAGTCGGTCATTTTGCTTTTTGGTCCCCCTGTGGCAGCGTCCTGTGTAGCTTTTATCTGATTACATGTGAAACAAGAAAAGACACAGGTCTGTTTTTATCATCAGTAATAAAATGTACACTTTTAAAAGTTCTAAAATTTAAATAGCCTGTAATATATTTTTCTTTTTAATGTTAAACTAGTGCTTTGTAGCAACATACCTACATTATCTCAAGTCTTTCTATGTGCAGATACAATGAAGGTCAGAGCCCATCAACCAAACTGCTCAACACAAAGTTAATGTTTGTCCTACCTGTATTTCTTTTATGCTTATTAAAGCAGGCAGGAAACCCATAAAACCCCCAGAGTCCTTTTGGATGATCTCTGACCGCCAACTGCAGCGTCTCCTCCATGAACTTACGAGCGCCCTCTTCAAACCTTTGCCTTGCCAATGATGTCATGGCACTCTCTGACAAATCCGGTCTCTCCTGTCTCACCAGCAGCTTGGACAGCCGCCGGTACTCCATCTTGGTTCCAAAGTTTCTCTCCCACAGTGGGTGCCACTCTTCCCAGTCGATAACGGCTAAGCCGGTGAAGTCTGGCTGTAGCAGGCTGGACATCTGCGTCACTGCAAGGGAAAGGTGAGCTGAGAGGTCGCCAAGCTGCGGTATTCCTCCATTCACCGTCCTGTTGTCTTTCGAGAGGTATGGATATTTTCCCAAGCGGTCACGGTAAAAGATGGACATTTTCTGGAAAATTTAAACATTTGCCCATAGAAATTGTTACCAAACTGCAGCTCTACTCTGCTTTTTAGCTTATTTTAGCTTGTTGTTTCGGTTTTATGGCACATTTTCTGTTTGCTTTGGTCGAATGATAAATGGAGAGTAGAATATTGGTGGACAGAGACACAAATCTCAGACAAATCTAAAGTAATTAAACACATTAGTGAGATACGTCACTCAAAATACACTACACTGTACTTCACGCACAGGGAATAATCACCTGTCCCTGGAAGCGCTGCTGTCGGTTCTCCACAATATCAAAGTCTCCCAGGTCCAGGTGGACGTTGTAGCTTTTTTGACACCGTGCCGTGGGCATGTTCCACACCACAACGAAGGGCTGGTCCTGCAGGATCGGTCCTGCTGCAGCCACAGCAGGCAGGGGGCTGTCAGGGAGGTCAACTCCATGGGTGGAGGTTTGTGACAGAGATGTGCACAGGATGGGAGAGAGGAAGAGAAGGATGAAGGGGAGAGGGAGGTCAGACAGCACCATGGCCGCTCACCCACTGAAGTGTCCTTCCTGACAGGAGAGAGAAGTGGGCCGCTAAGATTTATTGATGCATTGGAATAGACTTCTTAATTGAGAACTGACCGTTGTCATCGGAAATGAACAGTTACAAGAATTAAAATAGCCATTAATTGGTTGTTTCCACTCTGAGATAATTCAGATACTCTGAACGCTTGTTTTGATGATATGAATGAGTACTTGACACTAAAAACCATTATTAACAGTTAATAAAGCAAAATAAACAAGTCAAAGGAATTCATTAAAAATAAATTTGCTTTATTTCCAAATTATTCATAACTTAAACATCAGATGTAATACAAGGCATCATTTTCATCAACATAACAGGTCTTTCAAACTTAAACAAAAGGCACAATCAGACCTCAAGTTCAACATTACAGCTTCATATTATTTAATAGCAGCAGATATAGACTGGAATTTGGCAACATTATTGAGGGGCAGAGATGCTAAGAAGGTAAAAGTAATTTCATTGGTTGTTTGGATGAGCCAAAGCATTTATTTTTTAAATCTAAAAAATGTATCACTACTAAGCTTTCACGGTCAAGCTTAAAGTGAACACAGCAAAACTTTTCTCCCCTTTCAGCAAATAAATGTGAAACATGCATCACGCTGCCCAGTGAAGCAGAAACATCCAAGTGAAGTAACAATAATCAGTATTTAGGTAGCTCCACTCATTGTACAACCTGGTTCATTTTTTATAGTGTTGGCCACCATTTCTAATTTATTCACCGTTTCAATGCAGACATACAGGGATTTACCAGGCCCGGGTTAGACACAGGCACTCCACTGCACGCACTGCAAGCAGTTTTATGTTAATTATCAAAATCAGATACTGGGAAGTGAGAACAAGTGTGGAGTGAACTGTTACTACCAGCAACCAGCTCCTTTATCTGCTTCATTAGACTTGACAGATGTCATCCAATAAGAATGAAGGCCCACACGATGAAAATAAAACACTGGTTGAGGTCTTAAGTGTCTTATGATGTTCACGGCAGTATTAAATGATGATCTTTGTTTGGAAGCTTTCAGCATAGCTCTGGCTGTACGTTTGAGCCCGTGTGTGCACTTATGTGTTTGTGTCTGAGTGTTCTCTGTGGCTGAGCCCAAGACCGTGACAGAGACATGTTGTGACTGTATGATAGCAGTGAATGACACACCATTACTTGTTTTCTGTCTGAGAGACCATTAATGGTGTTTACTCTTTAAATGTTTGAACATATGTTCCTGTCTTTTGTTGTGTGCACATATGAACATACTGGCTGTGTCTGCAATAATGTGGATGAACGCATTCCTAAGTGCATCTGATTGTTCGTCAAATGTCTTTGTGCATCCAATAGATGGGAACTCCTTTGGCGTCTCTGTAGGGAGTTTCAGTCAGAGTCTGAACTACAAGCTCTCCTGTAGACTGAGGAGGAGGAGGTGGAGGTGGTGGAGATGGGATGGAAGGAGGAGGTGGTGGTGGAGGGATGGAAGGAAGAGGAAGAGGAGGAGGAGGAGGTGGTGGAGGAGGGATGGAAGGAAGAGGAAGAGGAGGAGAGATGGTGGGAGGATGAGGTAAACTAGAAGGTGGAGGTGACCCTACAACACAAGCACCTCTTGAGTCTTTGGTCCCATGTGGTACTTGAGGATCCATCTTTGTTGCTGCCGTTTGTTTCTTTGTGTTCGCCTCTTCACTCGGCATTCTGGAGAACCTCAAAAGCATCTCCATGGGAACAAAAGCAGTCATGGCGCCTGCGTTCTGCACCGGCGTGGACAGCACATAGCCGAGGTGGGCGTAGAAGTGCTGTTTATCGTGGGTGGTCAGGCACAGGCGCTTGAAAGCTCTGCTTTTGGCGTAGCGCTCAACCTCTTCCATCAGAGTCCGGCCATAGCCCTTCCCTCGCTCCGCCCTGGACACAACCACCGACTCGACGAACAGGCTGCTGTTGTGACCTACCACCCGGGAGAGGCGTGCGTGGCCGACCAGCCGCTCTGTCTCTCGGTGGCCCTGCAGGAGAACCAAGCAGATGGGGAACTCTGGACAGGATTTCTGGAGGGAGTGAACCCGGGCGGCCTGGCTCCTCTGCCACTCGGAGTTGACCAGGTCCGCACAGGGAACCAGCAGGTCAGGTCGCCGGTGGATCGGGACTGCACGGATCTTCTGTGATTGTTCAGAGTCACCATGCAGCTTCTCTGTAACTTGTCTCTCATATTTTGTCTGACAGTCCAATGTTGAGTTGGGGTGCAGATCAGTGGTCAGCTCCCCTTGACTCTCCGGTTTGGAGTTTGTTGAGGTTAATGGTTCAGACCTGTGGTGATCAAGGTTTAACTAAAGTCAGTCTTCATTCAACTCCTACTGTAAAATGTGAAAATGTTTTGTACATGCACCTCCTCAATTTTGTGGTTAGTCTGATCACATCTCAGTGTATATTACTGGTAGTCTGAACCAGGAAGTCTGACTGATCAAAGATGTGTTCTAAGATGAGATCGTTTCTGTAACAAATCCCACAGATAAGACCAGACTTTCATCATCTTGAAATCAAGATGTGTACAGGTCCTAAGCTCAGTGGTGCTGTAAGAGATACATGATGGTTGAGCTCCATCTGATCTCAGTCTATACTCCGCTTCCACTGCAGCCTTTGCTTCCCGCCTCTCCAGTTTCTCTGTGGTCGTGGACACAATCTAAATGTTGCTTTGCTAGAGTGTTGGGAGTTGTGTGCCTTGCTCATGGACACTTTACTGGCGGATACAGACAAAGGAGTCAGTGTTCAGGAGTGAGTCATTCATGTCCATGCAGGTCTCGTGTGACTACCCAGCAACCTTCAGCCATTAAAACTGCTTCTCTGAACTTCATGCAGTACAGCCCTAATGTGGGGCTGCAACAAACATTTAATTTCATTACTGACTGATATGCTGATTATTTTAATGGTTTTGTCCGAAACAAATTACCCCAAAAAATTATCATCACAATTGCTTGTTTTGTCCTAACCACACTTCAAAATCCAAAAGATATTCAATACACTCTGACTTAAATGACCATGCGACTGACTGAAGTAACTTAAATGAATAATCAATTATCAAAATAGTTGCAGATTAACTTTCTGTCAGTTGACTAATCTTTCCTCTGGCATCAACCTCAGACCAAACTTTTGTTTGTACCACTTGTAGTTAAGTCCAATGCAAATATGTCTCAATATATTTGTTGAAAGCAAATAATCATCTCTCATGTAGTACAAATATAAATCACCCATCCTTCACTGGTTACACTGCTCAAGCGTGTGGGATCCCAGTGTAACTGCAACAGTAACCTTCCATATTTAGTATTAACAACCGTACTCTCCTGTATTGTTTTACGATGACAGTTGCATGCTGTTAGCTGTGGCAGAACCCAACTGGATTTAACTGTAGATGGAAAGCGGGTGTCTTTTAATATATTAGTAGTGGTGAGTTTAAAATACTGCGACCTGTTCAAATTCCTTTACTCCTTTAAGTCCATTTTACTTATTTACTACACTCACACTGTATTTACAGAAGTCGATCACAATTAAAGAGATGATTTTGAATGAGAGAATAAGAGATGAATAATAATAAGTATACTCATAATGTATTCCTCACTTCTTTTTATATGATGTTGCATTGTCAAAATGTTCAACTTATGTCTCCTACAGATCTTTGTTGTAGAGTCATACAACATTTTCATCATTCTGCCTCAATGGGGAAGTAGATCTTCATCTAACACATCTTACCACAGTTAGCTGAGAAGGCTGAACTGCAAAGTAGTGAAATACATATCCTGTTAAATCCACAAAGTATACAAGTTTGTGTAAAGTGTAAACTTGGATGGATTCATACTGCAGCCTCATTATGTTATTAGGCCATGATGTCGATTAAAAGTTTGCATTTTATAGCACACAATGAGCCAACATATGGCATGTGTTGTGAAAGTTAATGCTATCAAACATCGCTTTGGCTTCAATAACTCTCTTTACGAGTATAATTTCAATCATCTTAAAATAGGCAGAAGCACAGAGTTCAGTTCATCTTAAAGCTCCTTATTTTCACAGTAAATCTTCAAAGAAGAAACAAGGCAAATCTGAATTATTTATACAAATTGCCATTGTCCAAATAGCCTGGGATTAATTTTAGTATTGCAAATAGAAAAAAAAACAAAGCTATCAAAAAAAAACCACCATTAAATTAAAAAAAACTCACCAGAGAGAAAAGCTGAAACCAAACGCCTGACTCTCAAACAGCTATGCACTTGGTAGTGCCTTCTCTACATAATGTCTCTTTCTTTACAACATGCAAAAAAAGGATGTTAGAGAGATGCAACAGGAAACTGGCAGCTGACTGATAGAAGATTAAAACTTGACTGGTCAAAGTCAGCGATAACGTCACCCACAGCATTTTCTTTGAAATGATGACTAGCACTATTAACATGACACGTTATATATACTGGTCACACCAGCAATAAAAGCAGGAAATTAATCTTCTTCTTCTCATTAATAGGGTGGCGTATTCTTAGTGAGTGCTGCACAGAGAGAAGACTACAGAAAACTATAACAATAAGTAGGGATCTGCATTCATTTATGATCCTTAATAGATTTTTTTTTGTAGGACAAAGTACAAATACACTATCTTGGTTCAATTTGATCTGTGTTATCAGGACATTTGCATCTCCGGTCCAGGTGTTGGTGTCTATGGAGAAGACAAGTTAAAGCACTACTTCACTTTTTCACAGCAGGAAAAGCTGTACAAGAGAACATAACGCATCACAAGCGTGATCGCCTCTCCCCACACTTCGTTTAGAAGTGTGAACGTCGTGTGGACGGATGAAAGCACACAGGGTTGTGCGTGCAACTTTAATATCACTTATAACTGAAAACCTTCTGAACGAGAGAGATGCGTTGCCAGATCTCATGAGAATGTGTTGCTTAGACCTTTATTAAAGACCCGTCCGCCTACCCACTTCCTCTCTGTTTGCGCAGCCATGTAGAGGGACTGTCACATTAAGTGCCATCCCAAACCAGTTATAGGGGAGTGGAAGTCTGTTATTATGCTGACTTACCCACGAGCAACCCATATAAATGTAATCTGCTCAACATCAACTTTTAATATTGTCATACAGAAGTTAAAAGTTACATTGAATTTAGGATCAAATATACCCTTTTTTGGGGAAGTTACAGCTCCCGAAAGATACAGATACAATTTGTTTCTCCCAGCGAGAGAGAAGTTTGTCCTGGTATGTTTATACCCTACACTTTCATGAAGGGTGCTTCATTCAGCTGACAACAGAGTACACTCTGGAGAGGGCCCAGAACCAGTTTGAGAGGCCCAGAAATGTCTACAGTGGGAAAGATCCAAATACTAATGTCTGAACTTTAAAACCTTACTTACTTATCAAAATTATGTTTTGTAATATGGTCCATTTCACTCATGCGTAGTATATACAGACAGTGGCTACTTAGTAGCTTACACACTGTGGTTAATGTAAGTTTAACTTGAACGTTCTAGCTGTGCACCCAAACATGAAAATGTCTGGTCCATATCCCAACTGCATGGTATTATTTTGTCGGGTCTTATTTCGTGTTTCTAATGAATGAGGATCAGTCATCATTTTGATCCTTTGTAACCTATAACATCAACGTTACTGTAACGTTAAGCTATTTTTGTTTGTTTTTATAAATGCTTGCCATTGGCTAGTTTTCCAATTTACTTTTATATTAAGAAATAAGCTAGGTGGGTGAGCAGTGAAAATAAAGGCATGTATTAAAAATAGTAACTTAGCTTCTGACTAATGTTACTCTGCCAGGAAACGTCTTGCTTCCAACTGTTAGCAGCAACTGAAGGGTTACCGATGTTTACGCTATGGTGACTGTAAATATATCAAAATATCTTCTTTTTGGTGTGCTACTAGTAAGTTCAAAACAAAGTATACAGTACAAAGTATAAAATATCGATTAAGACCACCCTAAATCTGGCATTTAAGATATTTTGCAACGTAACTGTAGACCCCCCGCTTTACGGAGCGTGTAGTTCAACAGCAGTAACTTAGCGTTACTAAATCCCCTCACACTTTGTAAGACAAGGCTGCAGAAGAGACGGCTGGAAGTCGGTCCTGCTGTTAGCTAACTTAGCTCTTTTGGTTACTTTAAGATTTAGTAGCGCATGCCGTGCTGTGACATTTGTTAGGATATTAGGAGGAACCACAAGGTTACTGTCATTAGACAAAACACTACATTTTTGTTTTGTTTCTCGCCACACCGTAACGTTACCTACATTTTAGTCTCGCGGTTCGCTGCTGATAGTCGTCCTCTTCAGAGCTCACATGTATGAGCAACAGCTGATCTGTGGTCGGCTTTTATTCTTTCAACTCAGGGACAGCAGCTGATAAATGTCAGTGATATCTGATCCACGGTCAGTTTGTTCAGGTTCAAACCACCGCTCCTTCTGTGAGAGGAGGAAGTGCTGTTGTCTAAGAGGTCATATCTGCCACCCTGTGGATGGGAGTGTTATTACATAAAAAAAAAAACAATCTACCCACTTGTTGCTACTGTGAGTGAATTACAACAGTCCTGCACTAAATACAATATATTGTATAAACTTTAAAAAAACAAGATAAACACCAGACTTCTGTTAAAGCTGAAACATACTGCTCAATTTGTAATTAAATATGACTCACATGTGCAGCAGCATTTATAAATTTAACCTACAGACCTGCTTGCAAAGGACGTGCACACAAAGGGAAACTGCATTAACAAAGCAGTGCAGTAGTCTCCTATAGAGCCTCACCAACACGGGCTGAAATACACTTATACATGTTTTATAGCACTGCAAACTTGCACCACAAATTATTGAGTTCAATCATCACCTCAGACAGTACAATACTGGATTTTATGTGCTTCATTGGTACTTTCTGCAAGGCTGTTGTATTGGAAGGTTTTTTTTATTGTGTACATCCCTTGTGTATGAGTGTAGAGCGCATGACTGAATCATCAAAACCAGTTTTACCAAATTTTACACACAGCACTGAAGTATTTTAGCTGAATTCCACAAAGACATCAGAGATTTTTAACAAAATGTTTGCTTTATTTTTTCTGTTTTTTTTTTTTTTTTAAATCCAGGACAACTCATTCAAGGATAATCAGGGAGAAATAAGCACTACTTTTTTTTATTAGAATTTTTTTCTGATTTTACATTTTGTCAGAGATGGATGGTGAATTTGATCAGAATTGGTCAAAGTAAAACAAAAAATAATAAATGAATATATAATAACAATACATTAATAATTAATTCAATACAATGAAGTGTGGCGTCAATGGTAGAATAACAATGGCCCAGAAAACATAGGGTTGTTATTGTTTTCACTGCTTCTTCTGTGGTACTTGAATAATCACCAGCACTAACTCAACTCAACCAACAACAGTAGAGGAAGAAATGGAGTGCAACCACAAAGTTTTGCACGCCGGCCTCCCAAAGAGGAAACACTTTTTTTATTTAAATAATATTTTATCAAAGCTTCTGTTTTGTATTTTCATAAAACGTTTCTAAAACTTATGTCTTCTTTAAACTTTTCTCTCTTTTTTTGCATTTTTGATTCTTTTTTCTGTTTAGAGATTTTTAAAGTTTTTCGTCTCCATTTTACCACAATGTGTCCGTTTTTGCAAGTGTGGTAACCTATGTGTTTTTGAGTATCTGCATTTGTACCCGTGTGTGTGTGTGTGTATGTGTGTGTCCTTTACTGAGGCTTGTTGGAACAACTTTGAGTTGTTTAAGTGCTCATGTGAATGCAAAGCCTGCACATATGAAGCATGAGGATGTTGTTTTCAATGTTTTTAAACATGTGAATGGAGTGTGTGCATATGTGTGTGTATACTGTATGTCCTTACACTGCTTTGCCTGTATTGAGGTCATTGCAGCAAAGACAATCATACTGAGAGGTTGAAGCTGGCTCTAGCATTAAGGTCTGTGGCCTTATGCCAGGTGTGTGTGTGTGTGTGTGTGTGTGTGTGTGTGTGTGTGTGTGTGTGTGTGTGTGTGTCCGTCCACAAAATGAGTTTATGAAGGAGTGAACAGACTAACTGAAATGGGCGTCTCTCAGTGCCTACATAGGTGTCAATGTGCATGTATGTTTGAGTGAGAATGCATTCATACTGTGTGGGCATTCATGTACTTGCAGGTGAGCCAATTTCTCCTGTGTTTGCACGGCCTGTGGAAAGCTTATGATGAGTCTGTGTAGCCACCGCATGATGTGAGAGAGGACATATGTCTGTGCGTGTGTGTGTAATAGAAGGCACGGAGGGTGGTGTGGGAGGCTCAGTCTCTCAGGTCCATGCTGGAGCCAAACAGGGCCACCAGTTGCTCCTCATAGTGGGCGATGTTCCTCTTCATGATCTCCTTACAGGAGCCCAGCAGGCGCTCAAAGGCCTGCACGTCTATTACTGCAGAGAGAGAGAGAGGGGGGGGGGGGTTAGGTGTGCAGCTCCTCATATAATCCACTGGCCTCACTGTTATCGGTTTTAAAAATGTGTCAAGAAATCTGAAAGTAACACATAACGGCCCACTCCCACACGTCTTCGTTTGTCAGGATAAAAGCTCAGGTTTTCCTCTGAGCATCAGGACAAAAGCACTAAGCACAGTGAAGTGCTTTTAATGCAGCAACAAAAAGTTAACCGGATTGTTTAAATTTGTGCATTTAGATGTCCTTACAGGGCCACAGAGGACTCTTAAAGTCCTGCTCATCTTCTGCAGCCACAACACAACAGGAAGAATTGATAAAAGCAGAACACATCTGTTGCTGCAGCACGGTTGAGTGACACTTTTCTCTGCTACAAAGCCCAGCAGCTGTTGGACTGTTAGTATAGTCAACAGAAAGTCCACTGACAGCCAGCCAGACAGGTGACTGGTTATCCACACAGTGTGTGCATGGTTAATGTTGAAGGGAGCGCACATAGGGTGCGAGTGACTGACACTATCAAAAAATAACCTGTGTGAAGGAACAAATAAAAGCTGTGCAATAGGAGCTATAAAAAAAATCATAAGCAGATTTCCCAACAGAGAGGAGAGAGGTGATACGAAACACGCCAAGCTGTTAAAAATCCTGTGTTCATTTTCAAAAGTGAAGAGCTGCTCGTCCACTGTAGAGCCTTAATTAGTGCACCCACTTTAAAGGAGAAATAATTACTGAAATAGCCTTTAATCAACAAAAAAAACAAGGTGATGACAGACGAGATGAAGAGCCAAACACCAATCATGAATTAAACTAAACTCAAATGCCACTTGATAATCCCAGGACAACCTGCATGTACTGGTTCAATGAGTGGAAAATGATTACCACAGACACTGCTGTAAGGTTGAGTGGTTTAAATATCGCTTATTAAGTGCTTTTAATTTCACAAAGTTTTATCTTCAGTATATACCAGGGATTTACTGATTATTTTAAACTATAGCTTTAGTAAGAACTTAGTTTGGCAACACTGAACAGAAACTCGTGGCATACAGCTAAATGAAAAATTCTATAGCCACATTAAAATATTCACATTGTATTTGCCGACATTCGTGCAGACCTACTTTCTATACACATCTAACTCCATTATTGTTTTTCCTCTCGAGCAGCGTTAGCATCTATGCTGACAAATGCGTTTAACGAGTGTGTCAGAGTAAATTTCGTCTTACCCAAACACTTGACGCTGCCCACTGCGTAGGCGGAGGCAGCCCGGGGCTTGTTGGTGACCAGGGCCAGCTCCCCAAAGTAATGACCCCTGCTACAGCGTGTTATCTCCACCTCCGCATTGTCTGCATGGTCCGCCTTCGTCTGTAGGGAGGGAGGAGACGAGAGGAGAGGGGAGGGGAACAGAGGAGAGAAGAGGATTAAAGGTTAGCCCCATTGAGCGCCACTTTGCCCCCCCACCCCCAAACCAGCGAGGAGCACTCAGCGGCTGAGAGGATGAGCGTGATTCCCACTGTTGCTATGCAAAAACAGGAAACACTTTTGTCATTGTGAAAATGTTCTGCACAGAAACTACCTGGTAGATGAATATAATATCTGTGCATATTCCTGGACCAATAAAAACACTTGAATACTCAGTCATGTTCTTACAGCTGAACCAACAGAATTGACTGCTGGGAATATGTAGAGCTGAACTGTAGGGGAAATGTATTTTCCTACACGGCTCTCTGAGAGACGCACTGTGGAATAAATTTACCCTCACAGCCAAATCCTTCAATTAAAATGCAGAATGGTGAAATGGAGGAGTGAAGATGGTAAGATGAAGGAGTATCTTACTTTACTCTTCATCATGATCTTGACCTCCCCAGATTCTACAACATAGAAACAGTCAGCCTTGTCTCCCTGAGGAGAAAGAACACACACATCTTATAAATACACTTCAAAGTACATCTGTGTTGTATTTGTATGTTGAAATTCTAACCACAACATTTCTTACCTGTGTGATGATGCGCTCACCGTCTGAGAACTGCTTCATTCCTAATACGTCCACTATCTTCATCCTCTCTGTTGCCTAGATAGAGGGGGGGGGGTCAAGAAAAGACAAGTAATGAGAGAAACAATGGGAGCACAGTTTCACTGACTTTGCATGCAGATTATGGCCACAAGAAAGAGTTAAAACAGCTGAAGACAGTGAGAGGATTTACAACCAGCAAACACACCTCCAGTGATTTGAGTAAGGGCACGGACTCAATGAAACACTCGTACATCCTCCTCTTCTTGGCATTGTTCTTCACAATGAGTCTACGAAATGTGGCACGGTCCTAGGGAAAACAAACCCGAGTAAACAAACACGCTGAAAGGCAGATCGTCTCAGACTGCCTGACTGCTACTGGTCTTTCTCTGCTCAGCCACAGGAAGGCGCTGCAGCAGCATAAACCATCAGAGCAGACCGGCGGCTCCATTCATAGAGAACAGGAGTCCATTCTTAACAAGTCTGAGCAGCAGCTCAATGTGCTGTTAACAAGAAAGAGTTTAAAACTGAGCTTTGATTAAAAGAGTGACACTTGCAGTTAGAAAGTGACTGCCAGAGCAACATTAAAAAAGACAAATTAGATCATTTAGGACTTAAAAACACTGAAAAAACCTCTAGGTAATGAATCAACTGTTTACTTTCATAACAAATGGCTCCAGAATGTTTAACTTGAACTCATAATGACTAGAAAATACTGTAAGAATGCACCAGATTAGACCGTATCCCACTAAAATCTTCAAATGCCTCTGGTGGTGTTGTTTGGGTGGGGTTTTTTGTGTGTGTTCTCACCAGTCCCCATAGCGCCCCCTCCTGGGTGGCGATGATGGTGGCGGCGCGTGGCGTGTTGTACATGAGTGCCAGCTCCCCGAAGCTGCCCTTATTGTCATACTGACCCACGCATGTTCCTGATACCTCTATGTCATACACACCCCTGGAGGGAGGGAGGGAGGGAGGGGGAGGGAGAGAGAAACAAAAACAGCAAATGGGGAAAGATTAAAAGAGACATAAATCCAACAGAAAAAAAACTTTGCTTTATTTCACTGCGCCAAAAGTTAAGATGCGGTCAGTGTTTTGTTTATTGACTCTAACCAGAGATATAATTACAGATTATCCTCTGGACAGGATCCTGTGTTAGTTTGGCACACTTGGTGAGCGAATCATTGACTGTGTTTGTGTGGGTGCACTAGTGTGAATAACTTGGTGCATATATGTATTCAATGAGATGTGTTTCATTCATTTTCAAGTGCTTAACTGTGACAATATGTAAAGGTGAGAGAAATTCAGCTCATCTGTGAACCCTACTGTACATCTGAATGCACAGTAATAATATATTTTCTATATTTCTGGCAGACTGTAATACTTCAGCAGAGCAGCTCGGTCTCCCCCTCCCTCCCCCACTCTCTCTCTGTATGAGGATTAAACCTGGGGAGGGTAATTTGCAGTGTCGTTGCTTGGCAGGATTAACCAGTCATATTGTAAGAGAGCCTGTCCTCCCATTGGCTGCGTAGTTGGGCTGAAAGCCTTTATGCTAGTGGAGTATCAACTTAGTTTGATTGGATTACCATTACGATGATCACTTGTGTCGTCGCCTACCTGAGCACGGAGAATGGTGCCGATCTACGCGCTGTTTAAAACATTGAGCTGCGAACTCTTTTTTTCACTAACCACTTAACGTTATGCACAAGAAGGGCAGCTGTAGAAGAAAGAGCCAAGATTATGTTAATAACCATTTTTACTTGATGGTAAAACAGGCTACTCAGCCATGATCAATAAATACCCTGAGGAAGTTCAATGTTTAAGTTGCCAGAATTTGGAGGGCTTCCTCTAAAAAGTTGTGAAAGAATGATGGTGCGTTGCATAAAGTCGGAGGTCGGAGCTGGGAATGACTTCACACCCGCGTTCCAGTTACGAGTCGGCCACCCGTTGTTTACAACTAGCCAGTTTAGCTATTGTTACGCCGGCTGATGAAAAATGCATTGTGCGGTATTTATTCATACTAAACAATGTAGCAACACGTCCACAGACAACAGCTAGACAGCACTTTGTGTATGAAAATGTATAAGAGACACAAGTACATAGAAGCGCTAATAACAGTATAAATACAGCTTTCACTAACTGTTGATACTCGGAGCAGCCATCTTGGATCACAAAGTCGGGGTAGTGCAGTTCTCCTGACTTTCCAAGTCGGAAATCCGACCGACCGGGCTGTTCCTTTGAAATTTCCGACTTTGAACTCCAACTTTCTTCACTTTGAAGAAATTCCAATTTCCCATGTTCCCAAATGGAACGCACCATGACTACTGCAAGTTTGCAAGAGAGAAAGCCAACTAGGTAGTTCATTTTTATTTGATAATAAAACAATATTGATACTGGTGAGCACGTTTTATTTTGTTCCAGAACAGATACTTTGTTCCGAATCAATTTGAATACATCACTTGTCTTCACACCGCACTATTGTAAAGCGGTCCAAATCGCATACGCTTCCAGGGCTTTCCTTATGTCATTATGTCACTACCTCATGCGTGCAGGTTGCGCTTTACATTGTGGGACATCTCCATGACAACTACACAAAATGAATCGCGGGTTGACTTGGTGCTGCGAGGAGCTGAAATGCCTCATAGATATTTGGTCTGAACAACAAATCAAGAACACTGAAGTCTACAAAATGGTTAGTGATAAAATGAAAAAGGGGTTGTGAACGCTCCGTTGAGCAGTGTCGCACGAAGGCAAAAAAAAAAAAACAAAACCACACACAAAAACAACATAATACAACCACAACAAGATACCGCAACAACTTAACAAAATACGCTGCTGAAGCTCCATGTTGTCAAGCGATCTTTTGCCATTGGCTGCCAGGCAACACATTCATTTGTTCCGGTTCTTGGGTTGGATGTGTTCTCACTGCAAACGAACCGCTCAGGGTTCGTATGGATTCGAGCCGAGACCACCTCTTCTAGGCGATGTCGGCTCGGTTGTTTTGTTCTGGATCAGAATGCGATTGTTGTGTTCACATATTTCCAAACAAACCGAGCCAAAGGGGAAATGCCCCCTTGTTTTGGAACAACATCTCCAATCAATCCAGGTGTGAAAGCACCCTAAATTATATAACATTAATGTATAAACAAATTAACTTGTGTAGGTTTGTTACAGTTGCCTCAAACTGGATCAGCCAATCACAACTGAGGACAAAAATGGCTCATTTCTTTCTCTCTTTTCTTTTGTTCTTTTCCGTTTATCCCTCCATCTCTGTGTGTGTCCATGCTCACACCCCATCCTGGTGGTACCATTAGCTTTTTAGGCCAGGGAAAACCCCGGGATAGTATATGAGCAGGCAGGCGTGCTGCTGTTAAAGGTCATCGCATGTCTCTTGTACGGGGAGCACGCTGCGTTAGAAAGTGTGTATGATAGTGGAAAGACAGCACACACCAAGTGGAACTAAAGCGCGGTGCTGACCTGATAAGTGCCATGGCGAGAATAAACAGAGGCCAGGGTGGGATAAACAATGACCTGCCGTCAGCTCAACACTGTCAAGTGTGGTGGCAGAGGTTAAAAACCATCTTGAGGAATTTTTCTATGCCAAGTAATTTATTGGGAAAGTACTGTGAATGACTCTGGCTGATGAAGAAAGACGTGTTAATACCTCCCAGTGTAGTGCAGTCTCACGGATTATCAAGGTTTCCTCTATTATTTAAAAATAAAACTCAACAATCTAAACTACAATGTTTTTACACCATCAGGACCTGGAAATCTTCAACCCAACATTGTATTCCAACCCAGGCAACAAAACCTGACCTGTGCAGGCCTGGGTACACAGCAACCGTTTACATTAGCAACATGGCAGGACAATTACACGCAGCCTTCAGAGATGCTGGATACATGGACACAGACATACACAGCGCCTTAATCAGAACCAGCGCAGCATAAAGACAGGCTCAACTGTACAGACCAGCGCAACAGAGTGATTTTTAGTGGTGCACACTATACTATTATTCCATTATTATTTATTGCAATGAAGTACAACAGCTCTGTGAAAGGCACTTAAACATTTTACTTGTTGTCAACACTGTTAGGTCAACCTGGCTGGTATCTGTTGAGGCTGTCATTTATGGCGTTTTATTTGTTTTTAATATCTTTACACTTTTTATACAACCCCACTACAGAGTACAGCCTCAAAAAAACCAGAGCTGAGTCAACATGCAAGTAGTAAAAAACACAATTCAATATTGTCCAGTCATCCAGTGTAATAAATACATACGTATTAAAAACACAACATGTGGACACAGGCTTTTTTTGAAGTAACTGTGCTGTAAAACATTGTCGTTTCTAGCCTTCCTGTCATCTAAGCTTGCTAAAACAGTGTGTCAATATTCAGTTATACAAATTACAACAAAAATTACACCCAAATTTAATTACCCAAAACAGGGGTCTGCCTCCTACCTCTCTATGACGTAGAAGTTATCTCCGTCAGCTCCCTGGTCGATGACGTGCTCCTGGGGCTGAACCCTTAACTCGAACATTGCGTCCAGCACCTCTGAGAACTGCTCCTGGATGGTGGGATAAGAAGCACGACGTCAGACACAGATGAGGTGAACAAACAAGGAGCGACAGTGGAAATATGTATGTGGAGTTCAACTAGCAGCTGAAAATGGCACCGAGCTCATGTGAGTGCTGTAACTGGAGGGAGACAAGATGGAATTTAATTATCCCAGCAGGGGAACTGTGTGAGAAAGTACACAGCAGAGAGAAGAGGAGGCATTATTTTTGATATTGTGACACTTTCAGAGCAGCGCTGTTTCGAGTCGATCATAATGTCGTAGATTAATCACAGGTGATGTCAAGTGCTCCATGGTTCACACAATGGGAACATAAAGAGGTTTTAAAAATATAAAATAAATTTGAAGTGCATCTCCTCTGCCATAATGAACACGGATAAATCAAGTATAGTGATATCACACAGACATAAGATATTTAGAACTGCTTTTTGAAAAGGAGCGAGGCGGTCAGCTGATGCCCAAATATAGGAGGGTGTAAGAGGAGTAGTTTTACTTTGGCAACAAAACTCAAGCACATTATCACAACACTGTAACATGGGCTTCTAGGACTTTAGGTTTCTAGCCAATAACAAAAGCAGATTATGATGATTAGAGATATCATTGGTTCATGATACAAAGTACACATGCAAAGATGTTTGACAAGTACGTCTTTGTCTTTTACAAATGTATCATCTGCCCTGCCCTAAAAGCAGATGCTTCTCTGTGAGGAAAGTGAAGTGATGTTACACGTTGAGCTACCGCAAGGGAAACTGTTAACAAGTTATTACCTGACCTAATGTCAATAATCAATAAGTTTGAGAAATTAATTCTTTCACATAGGTTGCAACCTCCCTCCCTCCTGTACTGTACCTGAAAGTACAACAATGAAACCCTACAGACACGAGAACACAACCAGTCAAAGATTGACTTGTGGGATCGAGTCAAGTCTGTATTGTTCAACTTACCTGCTGTAGGTGATGTAATTATGCATATCCAGTCTAACTTGGACTGACAAAACCGACAAATGCTACAGAAACTGCAGCTGGGAGCAGACTGGAAAGAATTGGCACAGAAAAAAGATCCCGTCTGTCATGCAGGCACACTTTGACTCCAGTCAACACGATACGGGACAAAACCAAGCTCATTGGAAATACAGGCGGAAAGTAGCTGAGTAGTCACGGATAAGCGGAGTAGCGCAGTGCACTGATCGTTTCCGATGCACTCGTGTGTGAGCCAGGTGTGCTAGTACAGTCTGTTTAGCAGTTAACAGAACAGTTTTGTTTTCCAGCAGCTCAGCAGAGTGACAGGATCTGTAACCCATCTGTATTTGAAGGATTTTGTGTACTGTGATATTGATGTGTATGTGCACACACGTTTCTTCCTGTGCAGGTTTGTACATTTCATTTACCTGATCTAGTGTTTTGAAGAGTAGGATGTCTCGGCAGGCCTCCTGCAGTCTGCAGCGCTGTTCATCTGTTTTTGGGTGAACTACTCGGGGCTCCGTGTCTTCATCGTCCTCGTCTGGGTTGAAAGCCTCCGCACACACTGGAGGGAAAACATGGAAACAAACTTACCTTACATAGTGCATTAACATGTCCTGTGTGATTACACTGTAATTAGACAAAGCAAACAGTCCAGGTGAGGAACTATTCTATGGACATGTTCAGAAATTTATTAAGCTGCAGTAATAACAATTGTTACAGCTACACACAATTGCATGCTAAAACATGTTGTCGGATTGGAAGTTCTTCGCCGTGAGTGAAGAAGACAACCATAGGTCATTAACAACAAGCCTCCTCCACAGGACGCTCACTTGCAGTCGCGAAAACGGAATTGTGGGTGTCTTTTATAGGGCGACTTTATAAAACATACTGCTGACGAAGAAAGTCAAGAGAGCAGACACATACAGGGAGAGAGAGGTGTAGGTGTGTGTGTCTGATGGGAAAAGCAAGGTGAGCAAGTAGTTTGTGAGGAAACACTGAAATAAGGTGGAGAACAAAGTAGAAATAAAATGCTGATATAAAAATAAGATCATTCAGTGTCCTTCAGGGTTGAGGCATGTTGATACACATTGAGCAGCAAAATATGTTCTGTCTCCTTCTCCTAGAAGTATTTATACTTTTAAGAGTTCATTAAGCTCTTTAAAATCTGAAATTACAGAGCTGAACTTGTTAAAGTAACTGGCAACCTGTCCAGAGTGTACCCCGCCTTTCGCCCGATGTCAGCTGGGACTGGCTCCAGCAGGATAAGCAGTTAACGATTGATGGTTGGAACTTGTTAAAGTAAATGTTCCTTATGTTTTACATTGTGCATCTGTCTCAACAGTGACCACACATGCCATGTCTGCTATCTAAACCTCTCTACTACCCTGTAAATACTACGAATATTAGCAGAGGTGCAATGTGATTTACCAATATTAAACTGATCTAAATACAACCATGGCAGATTCCACACAATAGACATCCATCACGGTGACAAACAACTTTAATGCATGTGGAGGTGCCTTTCACTTTCACAGTTAAATTCTATCTTGACAAGATGCAAAATGTGTACAGGCGAGTCAAAGAATCATATTGTAGTTCCAACATGCACAAACACACACATCTTTATCTTTGTGCCTATCACACACACACAGGTAAGATGTTACGAGCAAACACAAGCAGAGAGGAAGATATTGTATAACACCAAATGAGGCGATGGCCTGCAGGAAAAGGGAAGACAGGACGTCAGTACTGCAGGACACTGAAGGAGCCCAGAAGTGAGGAAATGACACACGCACAGCGACATGTTGTAGCACACTGGATGACAAACACTGACAAGGTCATTTCAAATTGTCACTATGTATCTGCGTTTCCTCCTCTGCGTTTCTGTAGAGACACACTCCACTTCTCGCATCTATCACAAAAGTCTCCACGCGTGTGTGTGTGTGTGCGCAATCATGAGTGTAGCGTCTGATCTCTCATTCCAAACCTGTTTGAGTGTCAACATGTTAACTCCTTTAGTTCAGCTTGATCAGGAGGGTAAATACAACAGACTGAATAGGAAGCAGTTAAACTGTGAGCCTCGGGCATCTGCCAACCCGACTGTGACAACCAACGACAAGGTACGACCCCAAAACACAAGGGTGTTAGGAGTATGGAGACACAGATGTTAGTATAAATATTCGGCTTTGTGTGTCCTTGACTGGTATGAATGCTGTTCAGACAGAGCCAAGGGTGCAGGCAGGTCCGTCATGCTTAGCTTTTGTTGCAGGAATCAGATTGTAGAGTTTTCCCCATGCTACCAAAATCTCCATCGCTCTATCGCTCGAGGATGACACAATATCAAAACACTGGCCAAAACAAGTTTTTTTTATAAGCCCTAATTCACAACAGGTCAGTTTTCAGTAAAACTCGTGAGGAAACTAATCCTTAAAAATACTTCCTGAATATACCGTGCATGTCTCTGTGTACTGTGGACAAAATTTGTCAACAATCTGTTAATAAATTACCAAAAATCGTGGTCACTGTTTGCCAAAGCCCACATCCTCAAATGTCTTGTTTTCAGGGTTCGTACAGCTTTTAAAAGACAAATTCAAGCACTTTCAAGGTACCTAAACCAAAAATGTCCAGACTCTCGCAGTCTTTATCATCACTTGTTACTATAAATGCAAGCTTACAGAATCCCTTTCTGCCCAGAGCAATCAGTGTACTGACATTTTACCAGCTGTTCATATTAATGAATTATTAAAAATGAAATATTGATTGTTTGTTTTGATCAAGATTATTGAATGCTTGCTAATTTCCAGACTAAGGAATCAACAAAAGACTTATCTAGCTATGAATGAATGTGGCTCCTCTCTGAGGGCGCTTTTTATATTTTCTGTTAGCCAGCCAGTTGTCGTGTATGTCGCTACAGCAATAAAATCAGTTAGCTGATGAGCAGGTAGTTAATAGTTAGACAGCTGCCTTCATTGTGCATGCACAGCTTCAAAGGTCAGAGGCGGGGCACACATTCTGAGAGCAGACGGTCGCCCTCATGACGCTGAATTTACATCAGATGTGAAGGGGATCACAAAAACGCCCCCTTTTGATTTTGTCGTCTGTGTCAGTCAGTCTAGCTCCAGTCCGCTCTGCTCCATGTCTGCTGTGAGATGCCAGGAGACAACAACCAAATACAACAATAGGACTGTTCCATTTGAAATTAGGGCTGAGCGAATAAAAAAAACAAAAAAACAACTAATTGCGATTATTTTGACTGATATTGCAATTGCGAAACAAATTGCGATACTGATGAGAATCAGTCAGCCTCAACAGATACCATCAGATCACTTTTACATAAATATTCTCATTTTCATTGAAAAACATATTCAAATGATTATGGTGTGATTTTTGCAAGGGTCTGTGCCAAACAGATGTTTTCTTAAATCTGTAAAATATAATGTGCAGGCCAGGACATCTCTGCAGCACGGCAATATTTAATTTCAAATGGTATTCTGACACATATTGTGTCTTTAACAAATATTGCACCTCCTGCGAGTTGGAAATTGCAGTAGGCCATATTGCGAATTCAATAAGATTTCAATTAATGGTTCAGCACTTTTTCAAAATATTAAAAGATGTTTGGTCCAGGCACGTGATTGACCAAGGACAAAAAGCAGGAAAATTTACAGAGGGGTTTTTGATCTTATCAAGAAAAGTTGATGTAAACTATGAAACTATGCAGGTCTAGGTCACTTCGCGACTCAAACGTCTTTCTAATGTTGACGTTAGTCTGGTTCGGCCTGACATAAATGTTTTTTGTTGGTTTTTATCCTAACATGCCGTTTGTGTTGGAGTCTGTGTTGTGCTGTGAGCAGGTCATTTTTGTTATTAGCGGACTGCATTTCCGTTACTGTTCTGGTTAGGGCTGAACAATTAATTGCATTTGCACGTTACTCTGTAGCTTGACTTGTTTTTGTAAAATGGCCTTACGCTTAACAGAAGCTGACACTACATAAACTTTAGTGTCACACAGGGAATTAAAGTTGCACCCGCCACCTGCGGGTAACGTGCTGGTGGTGGTGGGTGAAATCGTCGGGCCATCCGCCACTTTGACGGACAGGAAAAATGAAAAACAGAAAGATATGTGTATTAAGGTAAGCGTATTGTGGCTGAGATAAGGATTCATTAATTGGTGGTTGAACTGTGGGTTTTATATTGAGCGCTTACTGTGTAACACACTGTGGTGAACTGTGTTTTTTCTTGTGGTCTGTAGGTAGGCCGACCTGACGATATTATATCATTATTTCATGCCATGACTTGACTCTCGAATTATCTTTCTCATATTATTATAATTTGATATATCTTCTCCACTATTGCTTATAATAAAAATTCTACATAATTCATAACAAAGGCCTGACCCACAAGAAAGAACAGTGTATGTTCCATCTATCAAATATTACGTTGGTCATACTATACACTGATTTACTGCTTGTACATTTTGAATAATACAGAAGGTAAAGAGCTTAAAATGTTTTTGCATATTACATTGCAATATTGGTTAAAAAAAACAAAAAAACAAAAATCGCAATTAGATTATTTTCCAAAATCGTTCAGCCCTAGTTCTGGTGTTCTCTGGCTAGGGATGCACCGCCAAAATGGCAACAAAAGCACTTTCGGATGTTCGGCCTAATACGTCAAAAGACCAAATAAATTAAACCGAACAATTACGTTGACATGTCGGCAGTGTGGAAGCATTTTAAAGTGTCCCGCTTTGAGTGTTTCGGTCACTCATTTGTGAGAAGGCGATTGAGCTAGCCGTGCCTATATTTGGAGTGCACACGTACTAAAGCCTTTATGGTAACTGAAACGGACCAGTACGAGCTGACAGGCAGGTTAGCAACTTTATTTTCTCTCTTGTGTTGCAGTATGAGAGTCCTACCTGAAGGGAGGCTGTGAAGTCTTCATGTTACGTGATACGAGAACCACATACAACATTATTTAACAAATTGGGTTGGATTTGATGAATTCAGCGCAAGGATACACAACAACGTCCGGTTTTCAAAATAAGGTGTCTGTACAGTAACAATCTGGTCGATCACTTCAATCATATCTGCTTGTCGTCACTAAATATTACTGCTCCTCTAAAGGTTAGGCCTACGTCTAAAGCTAGTAAGCAACCCTGGATAAATGACAGCATTCGCAGCCTCAAAAGGGAATGCAGGAAAGCAGAGCGCAGATGGAAAAAATCCAGTCTCCAAGTCCATTACCTCAGTCTGAAGGATTTATTAATTAACTACAATAAAATGGTTAAGGATGCGAGAACACACTATTTTTCTGAACTCATTACTACACATAAACACAATCCCAGGTTTCTGTTTAAGACTGTGGATCAGCTGGTAAACCCAACCCCTCCTTGTGCCTCAGCTGGAAGTAATGATGACTGTGAACTGTTTTTATCTTATTTTACCAATAATGTGGTGTCAATCAGAGCCTCTATTACCCCCGTGGACTCTTACTCAGAGGTCCCTCACCAGCAACAACAGAGTTTTAACCAGTTTTATCCCATCGACTTGTCTGAGCTTTTAAAAACAGTATCACAAATGAGAGTGTCCTGCGGCCCACTTGATATAATACCTACAAAATTTTTACTGAAAGTAATAGATTCTGTTGGGCCCCATTTGATCTCTGTTTTCAACAGCTCCCTATCTACTGGTTGTGTCCCTGATTATTTTAAAACGGCTTGCGTGAACCCACTTTTAAAGAAACCTGGTTTAGATCCCTCCCTCCCACATAATTTTAGACCAATTTCAAAACTGCCTTTTATTGCAAAGATTCTAGAAAGAATTGTGTCCAAACAGCTGCTCACTGTGCTGGAAAATAACAAATTATTTGAAAAGTTTCAGTCTGGTTTTAGGAAGTACCACAGCACTGAGACTGCCCTGCTTAAAGTCACCAATGACCTTTTAATGTCTGCTGATGAAGGTATGTGCTCAGTCCTTGTACTCCTGGACCTTAGCGCTGCTTTTGACACCATTGATCACAACATCATGTTAGACAGACTGAGGCACTGGGTGGGGATCTCTGGTACTGCTCTAGAATGGTTTTCATCCTACCTGTCAAATAGGAAGTTTTGCGTGTCTGTAAACAACTATGTCTCTTCATTCTGTCCAGTTAAATATGGTGTGCCTCAGGGGTCGGTCTTAGGACCCATTTTGTTTTCCTTGTATCTGCTTCCCCTTGGACATATTATCCATAAACATGGCATTTCTTTTCATATTTATGCTGATGACACACAAATATACTTGCCCGTCAGATCCACAGACCCTGGAATGCTGAGTTCACTTAACAACTGCCTTTGTGAAGTTAAAAAATGGATGTCAAATAATTTCCTCCAGCTGAACTCAGACAAAACAGAAATCCTGGTCATCGGGTCTCAGCAGATGGCAAATCAAATACTGCCATCTGCTGTTTCCCTAGTAAATCACATTAAGCCTGTGGCAAAGAACCTTGGTGTTTGGTTTGATAGTAATTTAAATTTCGAGCAGCACACCACAAAGCTTGTTCAATCATGTTTTTATCAACTTAGAAATATAGCTAAAATTCGATCTATGTTAACTTTTAAGGACACCGAGACCATTTTACACGCCTTCATCTCATCACGCCTGGATTATTGCAACAGCCTTTTCACCCGTTTAACCCAAAAATCTATTGATCGACTCCAGACTGTCCAGAACTCAGCTGCCAGGCTTTTAACCAGAACAAAGAAATATGACCACATTACTCCTATTTTAGCTTCATTACACTGGCTCCCAGTATGTTTTAGAATTGACTTTAAAATTCTATTGATCACTTTTAAAGCTCTTCATGGCCTCTCACCTTGTTATATTTCTGACCTTTTAGTCCCATACGCACCAGCACGTACCTTGAGATCCTCGGGCAGAGGTCTGTTGTCTGTTCCAGAGTCTCGACTGAAAACTAAAGGGGACAGAGCGTTTTCTGTCAGGGCCCTGAGGCTCTGGAACAGCCTGCCCGAGGAAATCAGGTCGGCTGAGTCGGTGAACTCTTTTAAGTCCCTTCTTAAAACATACTTTTATAGGAGAGCTTTTCCCGATCTTATTTGACTTTATTTTATCCCTTTTATTTTATTGTATTTTACTAATTTTATATTAAATTTTCATGCTCTTATCTTTTTTGTATTATTCTTTACACTTGTTAAAGCACTTTGTAACTTGTTTTTGAAAAGTGCTCTACAAATAAGGATTATTATTATTATTATTATTATTACAGTATGGAAATAAGATCAAGTGGATTATATTCACAGAAAGTATAAAACATTAAATGTGTACATTAAAAGTAATTGGACACGTGTAATCTACTTTACCCAACCCTCTGGGACCTCGAACCACCAAGTCTCTCCTCCTGTGAGAAACACTAAGTAAAAAGCACATTTTGACTATTTAATCTATGCAATGGTAAAAAAAAAAAAAAATCCTCTCTCTGGTGAAACCAGTCGAGCTGCACGGTGCTGGGCTGTGAGCACTGATCCCAGTAGAGGACGTTGGGCCCTCATGCCATCCCCATGGAGTTGGTTTCTGACAGTTTGGTCCGAAACATGCGCACCAGTTGCCTGCTGGAAGTCAGTTTGTAGGGCTCTGACAGAGCTCCTCCTGTTCCTCCTCACACAAAGGAGCAGATACAGGTCCTGCTGCTGGGTTGATGCGCCTGTCACTTTCATTTGTTCTAAACAGGTGACATTGATTTACAATCGCTTATGCTTCCTAACTAGATTGATATTTATGAAGTTTAATTGACTTTATGTAATAATGTGATGATTAAGTGTTACTTTATTTTTTGAGCAGTGTGTTTTTAATCTGTATGTAACTAAAATACAAATCAACGGAAAAAGAAATTGATCTGATCAGCCATGAAATACTGCTCCCCTTTCTGTTTAGACTGGTCTGTTGAGCTGATATTCTTTATAGGCCCAGAATGTTGTTGCATATTTTGTAAATTGTTTCTTCTAGCTTTGGGAAAATCAAACCTTCCGTTTGAAAATTCACCTGTGACTCCTCGTGCCTGCCAGCTCAGCCCCTCACAGACTTCCAAAGACTCAAATACATTTAATGTATTTATTTATTGGTTTGTAAAGTAAATCGTTTAACAGCCAGAGGTTTAACCTCTCACCTTGCTGCAGTGATGTACAGGTGTACTCTTCAGGACCTTATGACATCACTGTTGGGTGTGGTTACACGTGCAGCAAAACAGATTTTTGACAACACCCAGCCATACGCATCAGTGATGCTGGCTCTCCTCAGAGGTGAAAGAGGCTTGCAAGCTTTCAGCCTGGTAACTCTGTGAAAAAACCTTATTTGTAGAGAATACTGCAGTAAGATGTTTTGAAACACCTTAAAATATAATGCAATCTAGTACAGTAGCACTACAAACACCACCTCTCTGACTGGGCAAACAATAATTAAAAAATATATTACTAAATGATATACTAAATTACAGAACTTGCTCTCTTGGATTGCATCTTGACATCTTGTCGTGTGCATTTTACTAATTATCTATACCAATCATCACTTCCGGGCTCAACAAGGATCATTACGTCTTCTAACATTACCATCATTAACACTTTTGTCAACAAAGAATCTTCAAACCACTTTGTTTGCTGCATAATAACATGCAACTGGATGTTACGGCTACAAAACAGTACAACAAAGTTAACAACTTGCACAAATGACCGCCAAATATTCCTCAACAGACCTTTATGGCGCTGCGGTACAGACAGCAGGGTCAACAGTGACAGGAGGAGAGCACTAAAGATAAACATCAGCTGGCACACCCAGAGCCTAATCAAAGAGCAGCTCTCGGTGACGGCTGACGACATTAAATTACTCATATGTAAACACTAGATGGGCACGATGAAGCGTGAGAAAACAGGAGCGCCGTACACACAAGACCACAGAAGCAGAGAGAATGCAGACACACAACACCCAAAACACACCGCAGTGATGCTTCTTGACAATGTTCTCCATGCATGACATACGTAAAGACACTCATTATGAAAACACTGCCCGGACAGTGTTTGACATCAACAACAGAGACAGACACAAATCAGTAAGTCTACCATTTGGACTCAACATGCATGACACACACAATGTACGTACAAGCCACTTAAGCAGTGATGTGTGCAATGTTGTCCCTGGTGTGGATTACATTTAAGGACATGACGTCAAACACATGCATATACACACACACACACACACACACACACACACACACACACACACACACACCTTACCTGACACTCTCCTGTTGAATCTGCTGGGTGGTGGAGCTGTGAAGAGAGCGAGAAAGAGGTGAAATCACAATTGTTTTTACATAATGACATTTAATATGATTTTGTGATTGAACAGACAGTGTTCATAGCAATAATTGGAGTGAACGAAGGGCCTACAGTGAGTCAGAGTGACAGTATTAGACAGAAAGATCCAGTCAAACAGATAAAGACAACAAGAGGTGAAGAGATCACAAGTAGGACACGGAGAGAGCGTAACCAGTAAAGAAGGCGCGAGTTCAGAGATGAATTGAGAACATGAAAGAAGAGTATTTATACTTTATATTTATACACCTGAATGCTATTGTGAGACGTAGCTACAGCCTCCAGCATTATCATCAGACAGACACACACACACGCCCTCTAACAAATGGAAGCATCATTTTTTCATGATTGCAAATTGAAAACTAATAAAACACAACATGATCCAACTCAGCAGCATTAATTGCACAATGATTGCCTGAATCCAAAGTGAGTGGATTAACAAATACCTCAATAACAGCCCTCACAGCTGCATGTTTACAAGTCAAATATTTTAATAATATATGAGAAGAGAGGAAGGATGAAAGGGTAATGACAGTTATTGCTCAGATCAAATCTGTTACACTGTGGCTTCATCACACCGTGTCCTGACAACTCCCGTTACATATAATCCATTAGGCTGTCTGAACCAGCAACACATTTCTTTCCACAAATATTGACAACATCAAGCTGTTGTTTGGAGGTACAGATGCTGCTGGGACACTGTTAATGTTCCTGAGCCACACACACTGCTGTGTCTCTGCTTTCATGCAAAGACTGCTGCCCAACTGGAGTCTTTCCTTCAGCAGAACACAGGACCAGGAGAGCTGTTGAGTATCTGCCCCCCCCCCCCCAATTAATAAAAAAATTATGTTCATAAACTAAATCATCATCTAATGCACGATTCCTCTCTGTAAAAAACATGCCATTATACCGAGCCCTGCTGCTAGGTAGGACCCTGTGAATGAAAAATTAAATGCCTTTCCAAACAAATGAACGCAACTAAATCACACTTGTTCAGAATACAAACATTGGGGCAATTAATTTGTTTATATTCACATCAATACTCACATATTATTTGAGATACTAATCAATTTAAGTGTTGGCCCACAGGAACATGCCTCTTACAGCAGGCCAGAGTAGCTCTTACGTTGATTGTGTGAGATACATAGCTTAGAGTTGCTGATATTAGCCAGGAAAGAATGGCATATGGCCTACATCAGTGGTCGGCAATAGGCGGCCTGCGGGCCAGAACCGGCCCGCCAGCAATAATATCTGGCCAGATTGCTTTGATAGCAGAAAAATAAAATATTAATAATAAATCGATAGTGTCTGATGCTGAAATAGATCTCAGTCATGACGGTTACTCACATAATCACTTCCTTGCGACTAACTTTACCACCTTCCTAAAACTCACAAGTGGGAGCGCAAACATTGTTCCCCAGCAGCCACACTGACAAGGCTGCCTGTACATGTGTCCACAGACATTTTTGTTTATTGGCCTTGTGAGTGCAAGTAGGGCGATGCGAGTGTGTGTGTGTCTTTAGGGGCATCCTGGCCTTGTGAATGTGTGACACCTGCTTTCTAACACTGGGCTGTTAGTAGCCAGCATGGATATGGCTCTCTGCTGCCGTACACATACACACACAAACACACAAACAGTGTGTCCATTGCTACCTTATTAACATCCTGTCAGAGTCCATTAGATCTAGACTGTGAAGATGGGAGCCTGGGGGAAAATCACACATACACACCACTTTCTCCCGGTCACCTGGGCAGACAGAGAACATTCTTCTCTCCATGGATATTACTTTTACCATCACTCAACACAGATTCAAGCAACAGGATGGTCTCAGCAATTGTTGTGCCAACATAGACTCTCGACTCGACACTTTAGGGAATTACATAGAACCATCTAGTAACTGGTTGAAAGGATTTTTTACGGCACATAGGGAAAATGCAGGATTCACAAGTGTGACATCTCCATTTGCATGAATGTGTTAACTCTCACAGACATACGACACACTCACCTACCTGAAACTGATTCTGCCTGCCCAAATATTATGCGGCATTCAGACCAAACACAAATTTAATCCTCGCAACGCTTTCGCTGGACAACTGCCAAGTGTTCACACACAACGCGATAACGCAAAGCTGGAATAAATTACAGACACATATTTTCTGAACTCACCAAGTAGTTCAACTTTTTTTGCTTTCTTTTCTCCAAGTACTGTGCAGTTTTGTCTGTTTTTTTTAATATAAATATGAAGTAGTAGTCCAACAGAGCTCTGGGTGCCGACCGATGCCAACAACAACAGTGGAACCGGATATGCACGGAAGCTAGCTGCTGAGAAGCTTGAGTGAAGATAAATCAATGTTGTTATCCCAAAAACTAAAGTAAAAAGCTAATTTAATGAAAGCAGTTAACTCCGAGCTCCTCCCGCGAGAAAACGGCGTAGTTGTCAGAGCACAGTCCGACTACGGGTGTTTATTTGTCCAAAAGCTGCAGCGCTGCTCCCGGCTCTGTCCTCAACTTCTCCCCCAAGTTCAGCAGCTCTGCGCCGGCCTGCGGCATTTCAATCCCCCGCTCTGCCTGGCCCTCTCCACACAACGCTCTGAAGCCGTCTGTGACGTCCGGATAATCTCAACGCTGATAGGCTATCACAACTCAGCATCATGCGACTGTCTCGCTTGAGTTGAGTCTTGTAAAGACGCTACAATGCTTGTTCTGCTTCGGCGTGCGTTGTGGGTCTGCAGACTATGTTCACTGCACATCTTGTTCATTTCAAATCCAGCAAATTAGTTTCAAGTGTCAGGAGAAATGTCTTCTAAAGACATGTAATGCACACTTAGATGGCTGTTATTTTAATGTTTATGCAAACAAAATGGATTTTTTTTTTGTAGTTTTCAATATAAAACTTGTTGAAATGGTTTCAGTGTGTGTATCAGTACATTTTAATCTTTTTCGGCACATTTTCACAATACCGTGATACCGTGAATACTGATAACAATGATGATTTTGGTCACTATAATCGTGATATGAAATTTTCATACTGTTTCATCCCTAGACACATGTCCCAAACTCAACATCTAAAAAAACTATGGCCACCAAATGGACACAAAATCCTATTAAAATATTCAGAGAGAAAAAGAATTGAGGTAAAATATTCAGTAATAGTGATGCAAGTACACAACACCAATCCTTCGTGAATAATCCAAAAAGTATAGTCCTGACCTATCAGTTCCTCCTTTCACTTTGCTTGACTCTGGTTCCGCTCATAATGGCTCTTCATCCAGACCAGTCCATTTATCTGAATCTTGCATCTGTAGCAGGGGTGGAAATTAACTTTTTGGTTCACCTGCCAAGGTAGCTGGTAGATGAAAAAATCCCCTGGCCAAACATATTTTTTACCAGCCAAAACAATAAATTGTCTTTTGTGTACATATAGGCCTACATTTGTTTCCGTCCTTTTAATTGAGATAATAAGGTATTAAGTCAAATACAAACTTAAATAAGAGGCCAGAGTGAAATTTGAAAGGTATGGAGCAGATTTTATCCTTCTGAGTCGGGAAAGCTGGTGACAGACATGAGACAGAAAGACGGAATGATCTGTTTGTGAAAAGCCACAGCTGACATGCCGCTTGTTCCGGTAAAGCCGGACCACTATGTGAAAGCACACATGGTTGCGGATGAAGGCCTTTTCACATGGGATAAAGCTGCAATCTTCAAACCATGTTTGGTTGCCTGCCAACAAGACTGGCAGACAAACCTACTAGCCACAGCCAAAAACTGGAAACTGATTCTTTGACCTGCAAGTCTCCATCTTCCTTTATGTCTGTCTTTTGCTTAAACCCCATCCAAGTACTTGCAGGGCATAGACAAGACTGTGGCAGCGCTACCAGAAAACTTGTGACTGTTCTTTGAAATATCAAAATATTATTATCTGCAGGGTTTCCATTATGTGCATTTTGCAGTGGCGTTCCTGCCCACGCTGCTGAATTAAAAAACAAATCCCTGAGGAAATAGTGGTCTGTTCATAGCAAAGACAGTAAAATGCATAGTTGATAAAATCACATGCCACTAAACCATCACACATACTGTAAATACAGAGTTAATCATTCATCAGCATTATACTTCTTGTGCATATAGAGCAGTGGTTCCCAACCTTTTTTCCTTGGCGCCCCCCCTACTTTTATCTAAGAAAAGCTGAGCCCCCCCCAAACAGCTGACAAAACACACACACAGAAAAAGATAATGTAATTACTTACTAATAGTGAACAAATGGAGTCAAATGACACCTCTGTGGCTCTGTGTAAATCAATGCCAGCTCTTGGTTGGCCTTCACCAACAGTCTCCTGGTGTTGTGTATCTTGGTATTGTTTAATATCAAGAAAAGGGGTTTATAAGGTGTAATATTTAGTGTTTTCAACATATACTTTACTTGGGCGGGCCGGACAGGTATAGTTGCACCTGCCAAAGTATATCTGGCAAACCACTTTAGCATTTAGCAGAAACGGTGAGGGAGAGGTCATCTGGTATTATGTCAACGGACACGCAGGAAATGTTACATTACGGAGCGACAGTGAACGCACCACTGCAGATGTCACTCACTAACGTTAAGTTTCGGTTTCGGTCTACATGCAGCGCACTTGAAAACTGAATCACGGGTGAGTTTATTAAACACGGCGAATTTATGAAACGTACTGCTGATGGAGAAAATCAGCAGAGACACATACAGGGAGAGAGAGAGAGAGAAAGCGGCGGAGCTAGCCGGAGTGTTTTCCGTGAGAGACTAGAGGTGCAGGCTAGGTGTGTGTGAGTGTGGGGAGAAGAGCAGAGGAGCAGATTCAAGTAAATAAAAACTAATCTAAGGTGACCTACAATAACCTACTGTTAATACAAATAGCCTACTATATACACCACTATCGAGCCCACCCTCCACCGGCCGCCAGCGGCACAGTTGCCCTGTCTTAATGAG